GCCAGTGTGTGGTTTCCCGTACCCTCAGCCGACCTCAGGCTCTAATGACTGTGGCTACCAAGATCGCTCTGCAGATGGCCTGCAAGATGGGAGGAGAGCTGTGGAGTGTGGAAGTCCCTGTAAGTCACATGGACAAAAATGTGTACATTGAAGAAATTAAAAGTTTAGGTGTGTTGTGGGAAAACAAGATTAGGTAGATCTCGAGTGGATTAAGCAGTCAGATGTTTTTTAAGAGTGTATAGAGAATGAAGCTGATGCAGTGTTTCTTGTTTCATGAATTGCAGTCATGGTGTTGCGTTTAAAGAAGACACTAAACAGGCTTCATATTTCCCCAACGTCATAACTTTATCTTGTTTTGGGGGCTCTATGCTTGGTTATGTCACATTCAGGAGTAATCCAAAGGTGACATTTACTTACTTTGTGTTTCTGATTCAGGAATGTATTGCTGATAGTAACCATGCTGTTGTCAGCCCTAGCTTTGAAACCTTGGGTACATATGTACTAGGGGTGAGTTCGTTTATAAAATCTCTAAACATTTAGAGTGGGTAAATTTTTTTCGTGTAAATGTGTACATGGGTTTCACCGCTGGGTGGTGCTATTGCATTATACCAGTAAAGCCCCAGTTATCCGAATACCAACTGAATGGGCCATTTAACCAATGGTGACAGGCCGCCACTCCGAATTCTGGTCCCTGAGGCCTGACAGTAAGCTATGGCGAGCCTGTAGAAGTCGTATTTCCCATGCATGTCAGCGATTTTCACCGGGGACGCACATGAGTAATTCAGGCTGACATTACCTATTTTTCAGCGAACTCCTCTTTAATTTTATTAAAAAACATGGCATATAGGTCCACAGTAAATTATTATTATTATTATTATTATTAGTATTATTAGTATTATTATTGGGTCTTATAAGAGTGGGCTACAATGAGCTATTAAATCACAGCATCCGCGGTGAGAGGACACGGAATTGTGTGCACTTTTACGCACGCCGGTTTAGGCGATCACAGATATTTGATGTGGGAAAGAAGTAGCCAGATGTATTACCTGTTTTTAAGCTGCACCAAGATACGTGGTTCGTCCGTCCGTAGCACGAGTCATGCGCCACTTCACCGACCCGTGCGTAAAAGCGCAAACAATTCCGTGTCCTCTCACCGCGGATGCTGTGATTTGATGGCCCCGTACTCATTGTAGCCCACTGGCAAACGACCCCCTTAACGAACGCGCCGTTTTAATAGTCACAGAGCACGGAGCCTACTGCCCTGTTGCCAAACCCGGTCTCACACCATTTCTTGTCATATTCATAGTCTATCACAGTTAGTCAACAATTAGTATCACCCCCCCTCCCCCCTAAAAAAAAAAACCAAAACAAATGTTTTTCGTGTACTAATTTTTCATAACTGTTTATGATCTAACACGTGTGAACGTGTATATGGACTCACCCCTAATATGTACCCATATGTTACTTATTGAGCTGTCCATAGGTCTAGGTTATTGAATGTGTTCCATAAATGTGTCTGTGTCCAATGCTGAAGGAAGAGGAGACAAAATCAGTGCATTCGTTTCAATGAGTTTCTGAGTCCATTCAAAGGTTGGGGTGAACAGACTTTTACAAATGGGAGGTGCTGATGGATCTTGTTTGGGACTGAGCTGGAACGCTGCACTGCTAACTTGTCCCACCTCTTTGTGCAGCTCAAACAGCTAATGATTGTGGGCATTGACTGCTACCACGACACTCTTGCTGGGAAGAGGTCCATTGGAGCTCTAGTGGCCAGCCTCAACCAGACCATGAGCAGGTTAGTTTTTACATTTTCTTTCCATCCTGTACCTCTGTCTGTAGCCTGAATTAGGTTGTGCTTAACAGCCACACAAGTCTGCTTCACAGTAGTTATTTGGTGACCTCCCAATCTTTGATTCAGTGCCAATAAGTTGTGTGAAATTTCTGATTTCTTTGTCAAGGTGGTTCTCAATGTGTGTGCTGCAGCACAGAGGCCAGGAAATAATGGACGGACTGAAGAAAGCCCTAAGTGGCAAGTTGCTTTCCATATTTCTACAAATGCTTTTATTTTAACAAATATGTTAATTCTCTATTAGCGATCTTTGGCAATGACTTGTATTTGTTTTCCAGCTGCACTGAAAGAATATCTGAAGTTCAACAACTGCCTGCCATCACGCATCATTGTGTACCGAGATGGAGTGGGAGACGGCCAGCTACACAGCGTGGTCAACTATGAGGTTTCACAGATCATGGACTCAATCAAGTCCATGGGGCAAGACTACATGTAAGTTTTTCTTGTCCAAAGTTTTAAAAGCCCTTTAAAAAACAGCTGCACTTAGAAGCTGTTTGTCACCAACATTGTCAACACATTGTCGACACATTGGATTGTTACACACTAAAATAACTTGAACAAGACTAAAATTTTACTGTAAATTGCCAGTCTTTGAAGGAGCCTCTCCATCTGCTCTTCATAGGCCCAAGCTGAGTGTGGTGGTGGTGAAGAAGCGCATCATCTCCAGGTTCTTCGCCCTCAACCATGGCAAGGTGACCAACCCTCCCCCAGGCACCGTCGTTGACACTGATGTCACTCGCCCAGAGTGGTATGTATTTATTAGCTGGCCTTACCTATTTATGTATGTATGTAGTTAACTTTTACAACCATTGTTTGTCAGGTATGACTTCTACATCGTGAGCCAGGCTGTCCGCAGTGGAAGCCTTTCCCCGACCCACTATAACGTTGTGTACGACACCAGCGGACTGAAGCCTGATCACATGCAGCGGCTCACCTACAAGCTGTGCCACATGTACTACAACTGGCAGGTAGGCTGGCAACATGCGTGCAAAGGCTCCATCTACAGATGACTTTCCATCCAAAATGAAGTATTTGTTTTGTCATAGTCTTTTTTTTTTTTTTTTTTTTTTTTTTACTGCTTATGCATAAAATTTAAAAAAAAAAAAAGATTTTTGCATTTTTATTTCTTTTAAATTTGCTTCAAATTGTGTGCATTCAGTGGTGCAATGTTTATGTCCAGGGGTTTTTTATTGTGAAGGGGAAAACAAAATGTGCTGCCATTGTGGGGGCAGCAATACAGTTTTTGCTATCTTAGTTCAGACTACCACACCCCCATTATCTAGAGGAAAAGACTAGTATTGTCAGGCTCCGATGTTTGTTTTATCTGTACTTAAGGGTGTTTTCACATATAGTCCTTTTTAAACAAACTGAACTCAATCCTCTTAAAGTGGACCAACAGAAAAGGGACTCAGTTCTTTTTGTGTTCACATTGTCAGTTCATTTGAAAGAGGACTCTGTTCTTTTTCTGGTCACACTATATATAATATATATTGACATAGTTTTATTACTTTGATGAGGCACTGCAGGGCGGTTATGAAGCCCCTTGTTTTCAGATGAACTTAAAATTGGAGGGACACCTTAGTGTCTCTGTGTGCTGTGGACTTTTGTGATTTGATGTATTCTAAATTCCACTCTGGAGATGTGCAGTATCTTGGACCAAACTACTCCTCGCCCTGCATCCTTCCAAGTGTTACAGGCCGACATGGTTTAGTCTGTAAATGCAGTGAAACCTTAAAAAAGCCAGTACTTTATCAATACTCCTGTTCAACAAGCATGTGGAAACATGTTGAAAAGGAGTATTTAAATCTGCTCTGCCTTCAGTCTCATCCTCTGCCGCCATGTTTTACACAAGCACAGCGCACTCTCAAGGCTAATGGCATATTGTTATAAACAAGCTAAAACCTTAGCGTCTGTAGTCCAACTCTTAAGCTTAGTTTGTCACATATCATAAAATGTGGCAAATTCTTATAAACTTAGCTGCTGGCTGAAACAAACCAGCCCTTCCTCCTCTACCAGCGGTACCTGCAGGTGGTGAATCACATCAGCAGCAGAGGGAGGAGCACAGAGGACAGGAGGTTTTCATTCTTTGTAAACATGACTCAGTATTTTTATGTCAGAAATATGATCTGTTTTATTGGCATTTAAAATTTGTTTCCAGTAAGATATTTAGCTGCTGCTGCTCTAGAAACAAGATGTAGTTGTATTTAAAATATTCAAATCTAGTCCTGTCCTGAAACGATTTTGTAAAAAATATATTTTTTAAAAAGTAATTATTTAATAATGAGAAGTCGTTAATGAACCAAACTAATAAGGAGGATCTAAGAATAGTAATGCCAATAAAATCCTATCAATACCCATTCCTGTTTCTCCTTGAAATTATGAAAAAGGAAGAGATGACAGGTTGACTCCTTCATTACTAGTAGCATACCTTTTGAAGGTAAAATGTTTAATTTACTTTTTATTGTATTACTTTTCATGCATTGATTGGTGCCAATGCCAGGAATAAAAAAAATCATAAGAAGGAATTGACATGTTGTACTTGATTTTCTCTTTGTGCTTTAGGGGATCATCCGAGTGCCCGCTCCCTGCCAGTATGCCCACAAGTTGGCTTTCCTTGTGGGTCAGAGCATCCACAGGGAGCCCAATATTCAACTGAACAACCTGCTCTTCTACTTGTAAGGATAGAAAGACAAGCAATTTGTTTGGCTCTGACTCTGTTAAGTTTCCTTGTAAAGAACTAGTTGTAAACTTTTATTTTCTTCAGTTGAAATTTTAAGTTTAGCCAAAGCTGAGTTTGTTTGCATCTCTAGCGTCAGATAGCCATGTGTATTGAGTTACGCAGTTCAAGAGGCTTGTATTACATGTTTTAAGTCTAATGATTGAAGACTCATTCAGATGTCAAATGCTAGCATATTTGCTAAAATGAGTAGAAATGCATGATGTCCCCTGTTAAAAATGCACTTGAGTTTTGCACAGTAAAGTAAAACGTCACAAGTAACTTGGATGTGAGACTTAATCCAAGCTGATAATGTCATCATTGTTTTCACTTCAAACTTGCAACCAATTTAAGTTGAGTAAAGCTTTTTGTTTTAAATAATAAATAAATGTGTTGTATGTCATTTTGTTTATAGTTAAATCACACATGCAAACATTACAAAATATCAAATTTATTTAGATGTTTTTTTGTTTAGTTTTCTTTTCTTTAGAAAAGATTGCACATGCACACCCACACAATAATTTGTAACCATCAATATAGGCTGATAATTCTTATCATAAAGCTAGCACACAATTGCAGACTTTAAAACAATATGGTCTTCAAGACACCATGGGGAAAGCTTGCACTGTTTGATTATAAAGTTAAATGTACAAAAAAGGCAGTTTGAAAATCAAGTATAAACATTTAAAAACAATTTTACAAATGGACAAAGTACAAAAAGAGCAACAGTCACTCAAAATGAATAGAAGCAATGTCTGAAGACATGGTCCATAAATAGGAAAAGGTGTACATCAGTTTACCGTAGGTCAACATGGCTGTTCGGCCGAGAATTGTACAGAAAGTATTACAGAATGTTTTGCATACATTCTTTTTTGGCAGTTTCAGTTCAACTCTTTTGTGTAGAAAAAATAGGCTAGATTTTTTTTCCTTTAAATACATGAGGATGAAATGGAAAACAATGTGTAAGGAAATAAAGGTGAACTGTTTCATTTCACGCACAAAGACGGACATCTGCACAATCCTTTTGGGCAGCTTTGAAAATACATTGGCTTTCAATTCATCATACATTCACTACTCTACATTAAGGTGTAGATATAGATATATAGATATATATAGATATACAGTACTTGTATCCTGCACCAACCTAACTCGGGGGACACTGAACAGGCATCAATGACAGATTGGCTTGAATAAACATATTTCAGATCTATTAGATTTTGGGTTAGAAGGGTTGAGGGGCAGCGTAGAGGTAGCCTTGTGTCTCACTGTTAACTACTGTGAAAACAGTCAAACCTTTAGTCTTCGAGTGAAGCCCAAAAGTGTTGCATGTTATGAATCAAATGCAGTACAATACCAGGACTTCATTTGCTGATGCTATATCACAGATTTGTTCTTTAATCTGTTTATGTCACGGTTTCCTTTTGTAGAGTAGTCATTTTAAGTCAGATGTGCATCAGTGTGGCATCAAAAACAGTAAACTCAAAAAAGTCCCTTCATTCACTCAGCCTCAGGAGTTTGTATACAGAGAATATTGGACTTTTTTTCATGTGTTTTTTCAGATTAAAAAGACTTTCTTTTTCGGGCTTATCTATAGATGATGGACAATGTCAACACAGGAGTCTCAGACGGTTATGTGTAAGCTCTGGTCCTATGGAAATCACGACAGTCACACAATACCCTGCACAGCACAAGTCAGGATTAACATCTGCAAACAGATTTTATGAAGTACCAACATAAATGAAAAGTAGGCATGGGACTGCACTCTACTGGGCAAAGTACTAACCATTGTGTGATTGTAAGGCAAATACATGGAGGTTTGATCTACTCAGGCTGATTTCAATGCAGAGACCCTGTAGTAGGTACAGTATGTGCTTGTTTTATTAGGTGTCTGACTTGTTTGTGGGGGGGACTCTTATCACGAGTTGTTGAGATAGGGCAGGAGAGTTAATTCTGATTTGTCACAGTATACTACACAGCAAGTCAGCTGTGGCGTATTAAAGTACTGCACGCTCCAGGTTCCACACTGAGCCCGTCACATTGCATGCACTCTCGAGGGGTCAGGAGGGAATGTGCTGAAGTAAAGCATGCAAACCTCTCGTACAATTTATGCGACTGGCTGTTTTGAACAAGCTCAAGTCGAGGCCCTGCAAGTCCATCTTTTTCTTCGGAGCTTTAACTGAGCCCTCTGTGTTTGAGTGACATTCTGCGCACAGAGACACTGGTCAGGCTCACAATGTGGTGTGTTAAGTGCCGTCAGACTTGACCAGGTTCAAAATGGAGAATGCCTCAGGCCCGGTCTCTGTCTACAGCAAAACATCAGAGACTTGGAGGTAAGATACTCAATACTACACCGTGAGGTCTCGGGATCATAATATGAAATGTGTTACTGAAATGATGTAGCTGATACTGTTAACAAAATACAAATATTGTAGTATACAACAGATGTACAAGAATAAAGCATTTGCTAAGCTCACAAATGCCACCTGTCCACTGTTAAGTTTTTTTTTTTTTCTTTTAACACTATGAGGACGTGGATGACACTCTCCAAGTATGTTGAGGAATTATTTTACAGCGCCAAGTCTTTGCAATAGTGTCTTCCCTTTGGAGAGCAGTCCCTTTTTCTTTTTGGAGGAGTACATGTCCAGTGGGGCCCTGATGGGACTGCCGGGCCCCACGGTGGCAGGGCCAGAGCCAGGGATGTGTGGACGCACTGTGGGAGAGCCTGTTCTTCTGGGCGGACCCGATTTGTCCAGTGGAACCTAATGGGAGACCCGTAAGGGACAGTTGAGGGTGTTAAAAAGCCAGCCGTCTCTCACACCTCCAGTCACTATTCCCCTCCTTCTCTTAAGTCCTTTCTGTCTCAGCAGGGCCACCATAGCTCTGAAGTCTAGCTCCCTGGATGTTGTCCTGTGTAGCATAGATACACACTCCCTCCCTCCACCTCCCCTCCTTCTGTCAGGTAGAAAGTGTTTCTTTTTTTTTTTTTTTTTTTTCTTTTGTATGAAGCTGCTAGGAATAAGCTACAACACAGAATTTAAGCATGACATTCACTAACTTCCACATCAATGTAAGGTGACAACAGTTCCCAACAGTGAATATCAGGGGCAGGGCAGTTCCTCTCACATAAACAGATACATTTGCAGTTTGGGACAGGTGGGAAATATTTATATCACATTCACTTTCTTTCCCCTTAAATATATATATATATATAGAGAGAGAGATATTTACTGATACAACTGGGTTACAGAGAAACTACTAGTCACTATTCCTTTTCTGTAATCATGAGCTAAAAGGCTCCTTTAAATTGCACTTTGGGAAGACACATGGTCAAAGATTCCATTTATATGAGGCTGTATTTATAAGTGCAATGTGTTTTAAACACCAGATCATGTGGCATAGCAAAATCATTCTGCTTATTTTAGTCGTGTATTCTACTGAGTTTAAAGTGAGACTGTGGAACTGTTGAGAGAATAAAACGTCATGCTTACAAATGGAAAAAGGACCAAAAACTGCACCATGCTCAGTTTAACAAGGTGCTTTGATAACCTCTGATTATGATAACCAGAGGTGTGGACTCGAGTCACAAATTTGATTATAGACTTGACAAAATAAAAAAAAAAGTCTTGCAACTTAACTTGAAATATAACACCAATGACTCGTGACTCCACTCCAATAAATTTATTTCCCTTCATTTCCTGATCCAAAGTATCTACCAGCGCTTTTCATTCAAGTCAACACTTAATTACGCTTTGTTCAAACCAATCTGACAGCATCCAGTGAAGTTGCAGGAGAGAGCCATGAACAACTCGTTGGGTTAATGAGTGTCAGCTGGAAAAAATGACACCAAAGATGACTTAATTCACGCACAAAAACTAAACAAATTGCAATATGCAAAACACCTAAGGTAAAAATTACAGATGGCGACGCAACAACTTCCAACAAACTGTGTTAATAATAATAAATACAAACTCTAAAAAGCATTCCTGATTTTTGTAAACTGAATATGTTATTACTCTGATATTAAAATGGCATTACATTTGGTGAAGAGCACATTATGACTTCTATAGGACTCGAAACTCAAAGGTTGGGATTTAGGACCTGACTTGGGACTTGCCAGTCTCGACTTGAGACTTCAGTGCAAAGACCTGAGACTTGCTTGTGACTCACCGCTGATTAGCATTACCATCACTTAGCATAGTACTGTTACAATCCCACATTATCCTGTAATGTCATTTGTAGCAGCTGCTCAGCAAAAGTTCCGGTCTCACTTTAAATTGATTGATTAGTTGACATAACCAAAATGCAAACAGATTTGACCAAACTGGAGTGTTTTTAAATTTCATAAATGAATTTCTTTCACATTTCACATTATGCTTAACATACAAGATAAGGGGCTGAAATTTGGCTGGAGCAAAAAGCCAAATTACGTCAGAGCTTCAAAACCAAATCAAAGATTTTTATGCTTTTCTTTGGATTTTTGCATAGAATTTGTAGGTTTCTGGATTTCTTTCTCAGAAGCAGCAGTCATACTGCACTAGTCTAAATGTTACTACCACTAATTGTGACTGAACCTTTTGATAATTGAAGGTACAACAATGGCCTTTTAGCTTACCATGAGTTACAGCAGGAGACTTATTGCAGGAGACGGACATTGTCATGTACAACACTCAGAGAAACAACTGAAGATACCATACTTCTTGTCTAATGCATTGGCTAGGGTTACTGCCTCCTACCAACAAACAGTATTGAAACTTTTGGTGAAACAAAGGAGAATCCTAAAACTACCTAAAGGCATAGCAGCACTAAAGGAATGTCATACAAAGTATACATGTTGCATACCAGAAACTAAGGGTACCCATGTCATCTGCATTAGACGAGGGGACGTAATCTTGGTATCCTCAGTTGCTCACTTACGTGACGGAAACAGAGCCTTTAAGGTGTGAAATGAACACTCTTCTTCTGTTTTGCCAAGCGGGTGAGGAAAAGAAATAAAAAAAATATGGTGATGGCATTTCAATAGTTTGCACTATGACAATGGCAAATTAGAACACAAGGAAAGAAATATCTGATGACACCTATTAATATTTTAACAATTGCATTATTTGTTTAACGCAAAAATAACATCACATATTTACATTTAATAAATAATTACTTCTGAATGGGAACATAGGCTAAGTGACCTTTGCGTGCTACTTTACAAGAAAGCAATATACAAAACAAGGCGTTCAGGAGCAGATACAAAAGTTGTACTACACTAGACTTATCTTTATATAAAATGTTCAAGAATTCATGCATCTGGACTATAGAACATGCTGCGCTACAGACTACATAGTTCATCTTTCAGTACAACAAAACTATTTACTCTATTAGAAATTATTTGAGATCAAACACAGAATATATTCATAAAGCATCTGTTAGAATGCTAAATATGCATGTGCAAAAAGTGTTGCTGTTTTTCAAGACATGACAGAACAAGTAAAAAGTCACAGGAGCGTTCCCCCCTCCGTTTTACTCTCATTGAGAATGCTTTATGAATACAATAGATCCATGTATTATACAATGCAGAACTTCCCCCCTTTCACAGCAGTAAACATGAAAAATAAAAGTACCTCTGTCAAGTATTAGTCTTAAAGTTTTATTTTTTTTTCTTCATAGATCTTAGACATCTATTTATTTACAGTGTAATGCTCCAAAGTCAGAAATCCCATTGTACTTCAATGAGACACACGCACGCACAGACACGGTACTAAAGGAGATAGAGGGAACTGAAAAGAGTAAATGGATGACAGAGGGCTAGTACTGCGAAGGAGCATGTACCCTTTTGGTCTTTATCCGTGCAGGAGTGTCCTGGGGGTATCGAGATGGTGAGTCAGTTAGAAAAACCTCTACATCATCAGGCACTTCTTCTAGAAAGTTGGAAGGAACAAGTCCCTTGTGTCCGTTGAGCTCGCCCTGCAGAGGACACGAGGACAGTGAGACCTCTGCTGCATTTTACTTTCAGTGTTACCCATAGTTAAACAGTTTCTCCCCATATTTTGAAAAAGTGCTCAGGAAATTTAAATTAAAGCTGCAGCAGAGTTGAGAATTGGGAGGAACTGTTGAAATGACAAATTTTCATGAACACAAGATAGTATGTTCAGCTTTTCATCAAGAACCAGATAACCAAATAACTCTTCCAACTTTAACTCTCCTGGGAGTCTCCTGGATAATTTTACAATACATTGAAATGGCTTTCTATTATTATTTATACAGGGGTTATACACCAGTTGTAATTACCTGTACCTTGTTTCTGAGATATGTTTATTTTATCGGTTTTGAATGTTAGAAAGTGCTTAACTCTAAATGTTACGATACCCATGAGCCGCAGCCACCATTGCTATAGCAAAGAATCCAGTCAGCAGTATGAATCAGAGCTTTGTCATTACAACAGAAAACAAAACACTACTTCATAATTGCCTAATTTATCCAATTCAGCATGCTATTACCAAAGCACACAGCAGACTTTTAAGCTCAGTGATTGGTTGTTTCTTACAGAACAGCTCTTTAGGAACTGTGGTTAACTTTGCTGTACACAGGCGTGTACCTCTATGTCTTTATCAATAAACCATACTCTTTCTTAAAGGGACAGTTCACCCCAAATCAAAAATACATATTTCTCCGCTTACTTGCAGTGCTTTTTGTGAGTCTAGATTTTTTTTGTGTGAGTTGCAGAGTGTTGGAGATATCTGCCGTAGAGATGCCTTCTCTCTTATATAATACAACTAGATGGCACTCAGCTTGTGGTGCTCAAAGCGCCAAAAATAGAACAGCAGCAATGTCTCTTTCCAGAAATCATGACCAGGTTACTCAAGACAACCCACAGACCTTATTGTGAGCAGTTTTATATAGGAACTAATTTTTTTTGCTACCAAACTACACAGCCAATCATATCACTGTGCAGAAGGAAGTGTGCATCTTCTGCGAGCTCACCTAGCACCACTGAGCTAGCAAACATTACAGCTCAGCTGAGGAAGCTCCATTATTGTTTACATCAAGCTGTCACAAGCCTCTTGTATATGAGTAGATGCACGCTTCCTGTTGCATGGTAATATGGTTGACAGGTGAAAAAAATAAACAGCTCCAAGATGAAACTGCTCACAACAAGGTCTGTGGATTATCTTGAGTAACCAGGTCATGATTTCTGGAAGAGACATTGCTGCTGAGTTTCTTTTGAGCACCACAAACAGAGTGCCATCTAGTTCCATTATATTCAAAAAGAAGGCAGACATCTCTACAGCCAATATCTCCAACACTCTGCAACTCACATCAAAACAATCTAGATTGATAAATAGCACTACAGGTAAGAGGAAAAATATGTATTTTTGATTTTGAGCTGTTCCTTCAAGCATATGCTCATCTTTTGTAGTGATGATTCAATTTCATACAAGTCCTGGGAGTCTTTAAACATAAGTTTTCTCAATGCAGAAAATAAACAACTCTTTTTCTTACGGGACCTTGTATGCCCAAAATGAACCCTCCCACCTCACAACTCTTTGAGTAAGTTTGTACAGATTTTTTTGTATAAGTTTTAATGTAAAACTACACCTACTGTCGAACGCCTGGAAGGATGGATTGCTCTAAATAGTCAGGAGACAAAACAGATGCTCAACAGATGTGGAAATAGAAAAGTTTCGCACTTACATAGTAAAAGCCATCTTCATCTATTTCACCAAAAACTGTGATGACATCACCGGCACAGAAAGTCAGTTCAGCCTGTCAAAGAAGAAAGAGCCTTGAGATACATTTGGCTTGTTGTACCTGTCTTGTTGTGTACAGCAGCAAAGGTGTGCAGAGGACTTTCCAAAACATCAAATGTACTGGGGTTTGATGAGTTTGAAATGCTGTGCTTCCTTCTCCAAATCAATGTGATGCATCTTAAACACAAGTGTCAATTCAGTCTCTGCAGACGGACTGTTGCAACTGTAAATGCATCAAATGTTGGAACTTTGAAGACAGGATTGCAACACACTGGGCACATCTGTCCTACGGGATTCTCGAGAACACACAAACCAAACATAGCATATGTACAGTATGTAGGACACAGGTCGACACACAAAAGACCAAACCGAGGAGGGGAGATGCTGGCTCAGGCAATGCATGAGGGGCTGTTTTTATGACCACCAGGGACAGAGGGCCGTGGCCCAGTCATCTGAAGCCCACCTCCTCGTTTGCACTCCAACAAACGGGGGAGGAAACACACAGAGCAGACAGTACTGGACCCTCCTCACCCTCACTCACCTCCTCATTCAGTCTGTTGCCCTCATACTGTGTCGGTGGCAGTGCCAATAGAAAGGTGAGAGTAAGTGAACGGGGGGATGGGGCAAAAAAAAAAAAAAAAACAGCACGGGAAAGTAATTCAATCCACTAGCTTACACAATGCTAACTCCTCATTCAACCTCACCTGTGTATATTGCCCTGAATCTCACTTAAAGGAATAGTTTAACATCTTCTTGCCAAGAGCTAGATAAGAGGATCGATACGACTCAGATGAAGCTACAGCTAGGAGATGGTTAGCAGGGAGGAACAGCTAGTCTGGTTCTATCTGATTGTGACAAAATCTGCCTACCATCACCTCTAAAGCTCACGAATTATCACGCTATATTTCATTTAATCTGTACAAAAACGTAAGTGTAAAAGAGTAAGGGTTATACGCCAGACTATTTCTTGGCCTTGGGCACGTCTGGTCATCCCAAATTATAGTTTCAGCATGTTGAACTGGCGTCAGAGACGGTGGAAGCTATCAGGGAATGAAGTCAAATATTCAATGGACATGAGAGTAAAATCTTCTCATCTAACCCAGCAACAGAGTGACTGTGCCTATTTACCAAGATGTCAAACTATTCCTTTAAAATCTGAGCTGACTTAACAACACATTGAACATCCTCATCGTTGTGCCTGTGCACCTCAAAATATATTGTGTTCTGACTGCTTTTATGCATTTGTTTACATGATGATGATGACAGAGAATGGTCAAGACAAAGTGAATAGCTGGAGCCACAGGAGGTCACTACCTCTACATCAACGTTTGGAGAGCTTTCTCGGGGATCGTAGTCTTACAGAGCCACCATTCTCCGTGTCGACATTGGATGTTGACGGCCACTCCGTCTGTTCCTCTCTATGAGGAGGAAAAGTAATAAAAGACAGACAAGAAACTAGTCAGTGGGGATAATGTTAACACTTTACTGATGACCAGTGACAATAATATGACACCCCTTCAAGTCCAACAAACTTTTCAATCTGATCATCTGGCTTGCAAGATAATCTATTCCTATGTTCATCGTAGTTAGGGAATGCTTAGTGACAGCAAATATAGTGGAAATTAGCTAAAAGCAGTTCACAGGTGAATCAGTAAAAAGTGAAAAAAGCAGTGAAGATGAAGCAGAGAGCAGAAGAGCATCTCGCTGGACACAGACCTCTCTTGGACTTTCTGGACCTGCGATTTATTGAGCGGCCATCTTTGAAACGGTCACAGTTCACTTCACAGGAAAGCAGAAAAACAGGATTAAGTGCGAGGAGTATAGAAAAGGAGAAACGCGTCAGTAAAGGACAGTTCAGTAAAGCATTAAGTTGGTCAGATAGATACAGAGGGTGTGATAGCAAAGGTCAGAAAAAGAATGTGAGGCGGTCCTGAGGGGAAATGATGTCTCACCTAACTTCTCCACAGGAGTGTTGAGTGGCAGGAAGCCCTGTTTTAGGAGCTGATCCATCATGTCGTCATCCTCTGTTTGGATCTCGGAGACCATGTTGCAGGGGATCAGACCCACTCGGTCTCGGACCTCCGCCCTGTAGAAGCCATCTGTGTCTTTGTTCCCAAAGACCTAAAGGAGCAACAAAGCGTCAGGGGGTGACAGGCAGCAAGATAGAAAGGACAGATACAACCCAGTTGCCAGAAAAATGTTGGCATTGTACGTTTCTGCACGCTACATTTGCACATTATTATAAAGTGTATACATTTAAACTTTCAGTTTTACCAACACTGTGGTTAATGTGTTTACGTTTGGGCACAAAAATCACTTGGTTATGGTAAAGAAAAGATAATGTTTTGGTTTAAAATAAAGACTGGGCTGACAGATACCATAAAACCTGCAGCTAGGATTGGCAAAGATTACTACACTTTGAAGAAGCATAACAAAATCTAGTATCATTCTTCTTCTTTCTAGTTTATTTTTTAGCCAGAAACAAACTGTCTAAGACTAAAGCCACCACCTTGATGATCTGGCCCTCCTTGAATGGCAGCTCCTCATCAGCAGCATCGGGGTTGGGAGACATGGACATGGGGTCATAGTCAAACAGAGCCACAAACACACGGGTCATCTCCTCCGGCTCTGACTCCTCATAGTATTCCGCGGAGCGCCGTCCCCGCCCGTGCCTTCGCCCGCCATAGCCGTCTGAAACATAGAGGAGGCCTCTGCTGCTACTACCAGCCTTATACAGCCACGCTGGCTGTAGAGGCAATGAGAGCAGAAGATGTCTCTTTGTTAGAGCTGACAGGGGAGAGGGCGATGAGATGCATGTGTGAAAAAAGAGCCAGAAATCGAATGGGATAATTGTGCTTTTAGTTTTAATCGCTGTCACTTTGAAGACAAAACTCCTTGTTGTGTTCACTCACTAAAAGCAAAGGATGCTTTTAGCAAAAAAAAAAAAAAAAAAAAAGGCTCGCTACAATGGTAGCCGGGTTCTTCGTTCACACATCTCTGCTTGCTGGCGTGACACTCTCTAAACATCAGAGCACACAGTACAACACAGCACAGACAGGAAACACATGTCAAGCAGTTTTTGGGGTGCAAAGGGAAAACTGAATGACTGTGCACACCAGGAGGACACAAGTAACACTGCACTATTGTTCATTGCTGTTTCACTGCCTTATCTCACAGAGGCTGATTAACATGCATGCTTTCCTTGAATTGGACATGAGGAGATCATTCCTACATCAAATGCAGGCATACGGTCATGCTTTTAGGCCACATCTGGAAACAATGTGCAGCGAAAAAAGGGCACGTTCCCGAGGGAGATAACACATCAAATGCCCCGGCTGTTCTTGGCAACGTAGATATCAGTGAGGGGGAAGGGATGAACCTGATATCAGTTCCCCATGCTTCTCATGGATCACCATGTTTAATGTTTCAATGGCAGATTGTAAGTCTGGATGATGGCTCAGAGATATTGCAACCAATACTAACTAAGCAACTGAAATATGCCTTTGAAAGATGTAAAATGTGCTTTACTGGTGTAAAACGGGTTTTACTTTGATGGCAGCAGAGTTAATGACTGTGCAACCGAGTGATACCAACAAGACAGTCTTTCCTTCTCACTGTTTTGTTAACGGTCATGCAAAATTAAAGCAAACGGGCTACTGGCTCATGAAGGCGAGAGGAGAAGGAAAAGAGAAGGCGGAGAAGCTAAGGAAGAGGAGGGTGGGCTAAGTTGCGGTGGGGTGGGAGGGAAGCCTGGATATGGAGGGTGAATGGGAAGAGTAGGAGTGAGTTGGGGTTTCTTGGGATTGAAGGTGTACAGGAGTACATACAGGGAAGGGATTTTCATTCTCCAAAAAACGGGAAAAGTGGCCAGTCTTGTCTTCCCCCGTCAGCTTTATTCAGCTAAGCTAAAACTAAACAAAGCAGCTAACTGTCCAGCACAGAACAAAGACCACCATAACACTGCATGTGTTCAAGACCGATTCTTGGCCTTTTCTGTCATTGTCAAGGTGAATTGTCAGCTGCACCACATACCATATTGATCCTCTGAGGACATAGATCGCCATATCCTGCGCCGAGCTACACTGCCATAGTAAACATCCTCCTTGACGGGTGAGAGGTTCCCCTCACTCCCCTCACTGTTACTGTCCATGGTGATCTCTACAGAAGACACCAATCACAACGTTACGGTCAGAGATCCCCGCACACACACTCTGCTCTACCCCATGGCCCATTCACTCATGCTGAGACAGTAGGATGATGAGGTTGCCCTGAGGTGGGAGGGGTGTACAAGGCAACAGGTTTCACTCTGGAGTCACTGGGTGTAAAACAGCAATGCTTGCACTGTTGCGGGGAGGTCAAATTGGGTGGTCATGTAAACATGTTAACCCACAGTAAACACAGGCATAGGGAGTGTATCTGGGACAACTTTCCTGCAAAACTGCATGTGAACATTTGGCGAATCCAGCTCGTGAGGATGGACAGCTACGGGGTGTGCAAACACCCCACAAAATAAGGGTTCTACGTGGTTGTATAAGCTCTATGGGAGAGATGTACAGCTCGGCTCACATGGGTAAGGGAAACACATGGTATAAATAGCACAAACATCAGTGGCCCTGCAGGTGGGGATGACGCGTCTCCTCATGTGGTGACCTCACTAACCAATGGATGGGATGGGCCGTTGCTGAGGGGGGTTGCCGATGTGAACCGGCCTCCTCCCTGAGTGGTCCAGACGATCTGCGCTTCCGTGTGATGGTGAGTTCCCAATGATCTTTAGAGTAAAAAACAGAAGACAAGAGGTTAGAACAACACGCCGCCTGCATGTAGAAGTAAACATTTAAAGTCTTTTAAAAAAGAATCCCACAATCCTGTTTAAACAACTGAAAAACCATAAGAGCAAATGATGTGATTTCCATTTGTCCTTAGGGAGGCAAAATAATAGTAAAAAAATCCATAAAACAATAAGGAAACCCAACAAACCATCAAAACAAGTAAATCAAATCAACCCTCAACACAACAACATGGACTGAGGGGAGGGGGGTCAGGACGGGTCAGATGTTTAGCTAAAGACCATTTGTTTGGTTTGTTTTGTTCTGTGCATGTCAGCTCCTTGATGAGAGAAGAAAGCAAATGGCAGCACAAGACACAAATGATGAGTAAAGAATGAAAAGAGTGAATGAGAAGAAAGAGTACAAGTGGAGGGTGAGTACTAATGGATAAAGATGTTAGACGAGCAAAGCCATTACAGCATCAGCCTGGGGCTTTGTATACAACAATCACAACATCTAATATGTGAAAACCAATGTTGAACACGACCATTTTTGCTGAAACAAGAGAAAGAGACAAGCAAGAGATGATGCGTATGAGCTGAAGGCTAAATGAATCGCTGCAGGCTGCAGATGTCTTGATGGCCTGGCCTTATTTTGTGTTTGAAGCAATGAGAGGTGGGAGATGCTGAGATAAAGCTCCAAGCACAAGGTGGAGCATTGACGGCTGCAGCTCTGGAGAGTGAGACATGGAGAGCGACAAATGAAGCCGGCAGCTGGCAGAGGGGAGGCAGGGGCAGGGGAGGAAAAGGCGGGAGCGGCACATCCCCATGCACTGCACAGAGACTTTCCTCTAAATGGAACCTTTCCCCTCAAAGACATGAGAAGTCAAAACGTAGTTAAATGGCCTTTAGGTAATTGAAAGCTTTACTTTAAAATCCACCTGACATTCTGAGTACAAGCAAAGTAACTCACACAAAATAAAACATCAAATCAGACCAACCATGAACATGTGATAACTGGTCATCAAATGAAAACTAAAATGCCAAATGAAAGAAAAGAAAAAAGGGGGTAATCATAAAGAAAACAGACAACATTAAGGAAACAGAATGGCTGCAGCTTGCTGATGGAAAGTACAGCAGAAAGTCTGAATCACACACCAGCGGCTGGTCCCGGTTGAGCCTGGACAAAGACTGGGCCCTAGCCTCCCTGTGGGGGCTGTAATAGACCCTGTCCAGCTCGTTCAGCCTGCCCTCGCTCAGGGCCCCTTCCCTGGAGTAGTTTCGCGGCCCACCATCCCGACCAGGCCCAAAGTGCTCCCTGTTCCTAAAGTCACCTGTGTGTACTGACTTGGCTGCAGTCACTGGGATGTCAGAGTACTCCTCCTCTACGCTGCACTGCCGGGTCAGAGTTCTTTTACGGCCCATGGCCAGTGCACGCCTTTCTACCGGGCCTTCACAGTGAATGATGTGAATGGGTCCCCGCATGGGGCTCCCGTGAGCATAGTACCCTCGATAACCCCGGCCTAGAGAGCCTTCTTCCTCACTGCCGCAGTCTAACCCACTGTCAGGACTCTTGGTGTTCTGGCGGTTGGGTCGTACCAAGCTGCGGTCGTCTGCGCTGTAGCAGTAGCGGCTGTCGGTGAAGCGAGGGGAGGAGCGCTGGCGCTGCAGGTGGCGTGAGTTCTTGCTGGGGGTGAGATGGTTGTGGATGTGGCCATCCTGGGAGTACGCCCGTCGCTGAGTGTGTGGCGTCCCCGGCCGCCCGCCGTCTTCAAAGCACAGGCGCTGGCCCATGCTGTCCACACAGTCCGACTCTTCCTCCACCTCGGGGATGCTGTGGAGACGCTTGCTGCGGAGCGACTTCTGCTTCACCACCTCCCTCTGGAGGTCCCAGCAGTCTCTTTCCTCGGCTAAGTCCTGACGCCTGTAATATGCCTTCGGTCGTGAACAGGAGGCAAAGTTCCACCATTTCACAGTTCAGTTAATCAGTTCAATTCAAAAGGTTCAGTTTAGATTTTTTTGTGAGGAGGGTTGAAAAGTTTTTCGGAGGTTTTAGAACACGCAGGAAACAACACAGTATGTGAATAGAACAAATGGGGGGGAAAGACAAAATAAAGACAGAATTAGTTATTTGTGGCAATGTAGTAAGACATGCAGTCTCATTCCGTGAAGAGGAAATGGCATGCTCTGAACAGGAATCTCAAAGGCTCAAATGTGGAGTGATAACTGATAAACTGAGTGTGGGCACAGAGGTTGAATGTGGAAGAGGGAATTTCACTCGTGAGAAATTAGAAATATCCAAATGAAAAGTAAGTGACAGGCTGAGTTGGTGCCACGGGTGAGGGATAAATGAAAACATCAGTGTGGGTAAAATTAATCAATAAATCTTAAAAGAATAAGAAAATTAACACCATGAAGCTGAGTGAGTGGAAGAATCAGCTGCTGAGGACATACTGTATCAGGACACTTTTTTACCAACAATTTCAAATGTAGTGAAACATACAGAACTTCCTTTAGTGTGCTCACAGAAAACAACAGCAGAAGCAAATTTAACACTTATATACTCTAACACTATACTCTTAACAATGTCTAAATCAAATGCTTATATCATTACTATACATATTTTAAAATAATGTTTTTACAGAAATAAAACAGTGATGGATGATGTGCAACAGTGATTTACAAATAGATGGCGATGGCAAAAAGGAGATGCAGCATTGGTGTATTTGATACACTAATGACTACCCCTCATGAACATCACATTACCGTACACATTTAACTGAACAAATACAGGGACAACCTGACCAAATTTGTGAAGATTTTATATTAACTTCACTACAGCCACTACAGTTTAATCCTCACTCTCATAACATGATGTTTTTTTTGTTTGTTTTTTTTATCATGACAGCAGATTGGCTGTACATCCACATGTCCCCACTGACACACCAAATGAAGACAGGATCATGTACCAACAATGTTAACATTTACATCGACAGTAGAAAAATCAAACATTACGACATGACGGACATAAACAAACGTGAATATTTCCATTTAAGTACTCACTTAAATGAGATTCCCATATGCACCTGATATGCCATGACCCTCTGATACAGCACAGTATATTAATATTTGCACTTCAATATAACAATTGACTTGAACACTTATAACACTCCTTTGGTGCAGTGTAAAGAGCATCAAAATGCAATGCAAACCATAACGAAACATTACGCCTTCAGTTTGCAGCCTTCCCCTCTAGCATGCGCTACAGTAATGTTTACACGGCCATTCCCATGAGCTCAGCCCTGATTGACTAAAGCGGTGCTGGAGGGGCGGGGGTGTAGGAGCAGGCTGGGGTGGGGAGGCTGACTCAGCTAACACAAGGCAGGGGAGCTCAGCCAGGCAAAGCCACGACGGGCCTGGTTGTGGAGCCTGTGAGAGAGAGCAGGTACCTCTGAAGGTGGCAGGACCCTCCCTCCCTAAACCCCAGTCCCCCCCTCCATCCTCTGTCTTCCCCCTGGCCACTACAGATTGAAGGTGTGCAGTATGTACCTTAAGAGTGTTGTGAGAGTTGATGCTGCGTCTGCGGCCCTCCTCCAGTTGCATCTCAGAGTAAAGATCTTCCTCGTCCTCCTCCATTATGTCGGACAGGTCAGAGCCCCGGCTACTCTCTGTGTGGTACTCCTCGCTGTGGCTGTAGTGGTGGTGATGGTGCTGAGGGAAACAAGAGAGAGAAAGAGGAAAGTGAGTGAATTAGGTAGAGATCAGCCAGTTTAAAGTTTTATATTATCTTATTTGACGACATCTTTGGTGCTGGATAAGGTGGCAATAGTCACCATTACCAAAGAGGCAAAGGAAAGTGTCGAAGCTAGAGACTCACAGCAGGTTCTCTCTGGAGGCGGCACGATATGTCAATTGTTGTGCGAGCAGTAGCTTAGCTGTTCACACCAGAAGCCCATTTGCCTGTGACAGTCAGCAATCTCTTTTGCTCCTCTGCTCTTTTCTAATCACACATAGAGCTCTGTCAGTCTGTCTGTCTGATTGTGTGTGCATATGCGTCTGCTCATCTCTCTCACCCTGTTTAGACACAAGTGATAAATATGTGGAATAAGTACGCCTACATAATTTAAAAAACACAATCACAAACAGCGGTGATACTGAGCTATTTCTAGAGTTTCAAATTTCATCATGGGCATAAAATCTGGGAAATGAAACTGAGAGAACAGCAGGAAGAGGGGCAGGATCAGATCATTTACATGATATATATCCTTTATATAATTAATAACAGATTTTTGATACGTTTTCTGGCTAGACTGAGTCATGGTCCACAGGGGAAATAGACTGGAAACTGAAACTATCTCTGCAGATAGTGAGCTGGCCAGGGAGCTCAGCACCGTGTCCAGTGTGAACAGCCTAATTGGTTAACATGGTCGCAGACATGACCCGTGTAGACCCGGCGTCAAAATACCAATGATGTCACCTAAAGATTCAGACGGCTATAAACTCCAGTTGGCTTTCCAGATTCCTTTAGCTTTCAATACTGATAAATTTAAACAAGTCTACAGCTATTGGTTATTTTACAATCAAAACCTGGAAGTGGTGTTCATATAGTTGTGTGTGGGGGTTAAAAACTCTTGTATAGCTACACAATGTGCACTAAAATTATGCAAATGTTTTGCCAAAGTAAATTTTCAGTTTACAACTGGATTTTTTAACACTTGTCCTCTTTCCCTTAGAAATATTTATTCAAAAAATATGTATACAAGATTATGGGAAATTCAAGTATAAACTTGAAGGAAAACAGATGCAGAAATACTCAATAAGAAGGGCCTAAATTAATATGTTTGGATCTGATTTGATTTCATTCAATTGGACTTTGCCCATATGTAGGTACAGATTCCTCCCTCTTCCCAGACACATGATTCACATTTTCTGATTGTCTGAGCACAGCTTGTTGTGTTTTCTGTAAAGTACCTGTCTGCCCAACTCTGAGCCCCTGAGGAATTCATCCACCGAGGCTCCTCTTCTCCTCGCATGAGGAGAGTCGTAGCCGTCCTCCTCCTCATCAGAGTTGAGTGGATGCAAGGCGTTGCCTCGCTCACTAAAGATATTCCTTTTCTCAACCTTATAAGAGAAATGTTTGACATTTATACTGAAAAAAAAAACCATCCAAATAATTAAGTGTGACATACCTACTACCAGTTTTTTTCTCCAACAAAACGAAAAAATACAGTGAGGTATTTAAATGTTCACCTTTTTGCTAATGTAGGTTCATAATCATTAATCATAAGAGACCAATAGTTCTGTCTTGAAATCAATACTTTATAGCTTTAAGAGCAGGCTGGTTTTTAGACACAAGTAAAATCACCTTTTCATCTGATAGATATTCCTGTTTGCATCATGAAAAATCAGATTTACATTATGAAAAATCAGAGATCACTACAGTTATAATATAATATTGTTACAATTGATATAATTGAATCACCACGTACCCGGTTGCCCTCGGCAAACACTCTCTGGGCAGCTTCCCTGGCCATGGCCTTGGCGATGGTGTTGGGGATGGGGACTCCCTGAGGCTGTGGCAGTATCCTCTGAGGAGAGGGCGATCGCCGTGGCTGAAAGTGCGGCGGCTCCAGGTTGGGTCCACGCATGGGAGGCAGCGGAGAGGGGGATCGCTCCCACGGCTGGGCTGTCCGTAGTCCCACCTCATGCTCTTTGGTTTCTGGCTCTCTGGCACTTGCTAACGGTTTGGACTTGGGCATGGGGTGGCGCTGGAAATGAGGAGGGGGTTGGCAGATGGGCTGCGAATGCGGCTGTGCGTGGGGCAGCGTGTGGGGCTGGGCTCTAGGCAGAGGCTGCACCTGGGGCTGTGGATGATTTGGGGGGTACGTCGACGGGTAAGGAGGATGGGTTTGTGAGTGTACCGGGTGGGGCTGCGGGTGGGACATAGGGTGGGGAGGCGCAGTGGTTCTGTGGGAGAGGCGTGGAGAGCCCAACAGATTGTGCGGGATGATGGCCACAGGCGAGTCCTGGGACTCTCCTTGTGTTGATAACGTCCTTACAATGACTTCCCTGGCCTCCAGACACTGAATCCTGTTTAACTCCACGGTCACATAGTCTGCTGTGGGGTATAAGACCTCTGCTATCTGTATTCACAAAGGAACCAGAGAGTCCTTACCAAAGGGCAATTCAGAATGTCAGCATACAAAAGTACTCACTCTATAACCATACCATCATACAAACTATATGCATTTCTAGTTCTCATAGCTGTTGGCTGAGTATTAAAAAATAAAAATCCTTGAAAATATATCATAACACACAGATTTGTAAATGTACACGGACCGGGTGAGCATGTTTAAACTTAAACTAAAGCACTTAGCCTGCTGGAAAAATTCAGCTGGTTTAAGATTAAACTGGATACTATCATGGTTGCACACACACACACACACACACACACACACACTCAATAAAAACATAAGCTCACTGTGCCAAAGGGATGTAACACTGAACCACTACCATGGAGCCAGTTAGACTTTCTTTCTCAAAGTTACAGCTTCAGTGATGCTCATCTCTGGGGGATGGATTAGTGATTGGACGATATATGATTTTATTGTGGATCAGGATAGAAACCACTCGCAGTAACTTCATCATGGTGAAATTTTATTATCGAGATAATTGTGAATATCATGTCCGGCAGCATCTAAACTAGCTGCTGGGCAACCAAAATAAGAGACACTCTTCAAAAACAGGCTGCATACACGACAACCTCCAAAACGAAGAAGATGATGCCATTTTAAATAGTAAAAAAAAAAAAAGCCTGCCTTTTTAAGATTGTTTATTGTTTTTCACTATGAAGGATGTTCACTAAAAAAGATGTGTGTCCTCTCTGTGATGCAACAAACTATTTGTTTCATTACAAAATGTACGACAAAGTGATTCCAGTATGTTTTAGTGCCATTTAAGACTTTCAAGCATATTTTCATGATTATCAGAATAATACTGCAATTATTTCGGCCAGTATAATTGTAACATGAAATTTTAATATCGTCCCATGCCTAGGCTGGATATCAGCATTATATCATTTCTCCAGGAGATGGCAATAGAGCACTACTCATAGAAGTCACCAACGAGGAAGGCAAAGGCTACCTTTTCTAAGAACTATACTGTAAGACTGAAAAAAAAAAAAAAAGACTTGTTCTGACATTTGGTACCTTTTGTCCCTTTGTGCACACGGCGTAGCCAATCACACTGGCACCGTTGGAGGTTCCTGAAGACGACAGAGGCGGCGGCTTCCATCTGACCTGCAGGACCCCCGGCGTCTGACCACACTGGACCTGCACCTCCTGGGGAGGGAGAGGGGGCCCTGGGGAGCACAACACACACACTGAGTAAGGAGAGAAAAAAAGACAGCTCAACAGCAGCTAAATCATTTCTGCCTATTTGAACAAAAAAAATAATGTGCTGACCTCGGTGCTATGGACTTTCCACTGTGCTATTCAATAACCATTTCACAGTGGTATGAAACAAGGCTGTTCCCAGTCTATATGTCTCACATACACAGTACTGTATACAACCTCGTGGGATTACCAAGAATTGTATTAAAAACATAATGTATACTAAATTCTAAATTATCCTAAAAGCATTTTCATTTTCCCTGAAACGGCCAGCTGGTGTGTGCTGTGAAACACTGAGCCACTGACAGCTGAATGTCAAATTTATTATATTCAAATATTGTAATTTTTAGGATAATTTTGTTGTATTTATGCTCATCTCTGTGCAGGTTCATGATGTGTATCCTGAGATTCATTCATATGCGCATCAGGCGCAGGCGTTACATTGGTTGAAAAAGCCAAGTTTGTCAACACACAGCCATAAATGTATGTACAGCGATATCCTGTTGCCAGATTCTCGCTGACAATATTCTATGGAGCATTAAAAAAAACACAGTTTGCTATTTCCACAATCTGTCAGTGCTGCCTGCATACTAAACAACATACCCATCTGTGCGGTGCTGCTGCTCCCCTGCAGTCACACAGTGAGAGAGAGAGCGAGCAGATGCAGTCAGCAGTATCTCGGAGCTGCAACATGCAGCTGTTTGTGTGTCCGAGAATCTCCATCAACACAATCTTAATCACATTTCTACGCTGACTGTCAGCAGACAACACGCGCAGTCTTAGAACAGCAGCAGTGGTTGTTTGGAGATTTCATTTCCTCTTGTCATTTCTAAACTACGCCTGTCATAAATAACAAGCTCCTCTGAGGACTCAAATGAGTTTAAATGAATATTTCAGTGGAGCCACTTTCATTAATACTGGACACAAACAGCAGACCCCAATTTCCAGGCAGGGAATTGGAGGCTGCTCTGTGTGACTAATATTAATAAAAATGTGCTTTCGCTAAGCACTGATGAAGTTGTTTGTTTGAAGAACACATGCTAAGTGTGAAAGCCTGATATAGTGCCTCTAGACACTGCCCTCCTTATTGACAATGGTTGTCCGCCACCGATACTGACACTATTTCAGACGCCTCTAATTAACATGTTCAATAGATAGATCATTTAATGAACTCTCAGCATGTTAGCTCGTCAGCTGCCAACGGGAAATGTCAATTTAAACTTCAGCGCCTCTCTGTCCTCCCCCTCTTTCTCTCCCTCTACCTCTGTGTCTTTTCCTGCATTCACTCCCTTTCAGCCTTTTTCCCATTCAGTGCTTGACTTCATAATCTCTGTGTTTATGTCCAACTTGCCTGAATGGCCTCCATCTTATCCCAGTGCCTTAACAGTGACTCTGTTTACACGCACAATAATATTCCATTCTGAATATAACAATATTCTGAATTTGATATGGGTCATATAAACAGCATATTCCGTTTGAACATTTTGAATTTGGCCTTTTTCCGAATGCTGCATTTATCAAATAAGACATGTAGGATATACCAGTATTATTTGAGTTTCAGAAGCATTCTTCTTCTTAGAAGCATGCACAGCTGCATGTAAATGTGATCATTAGTGACATATTCATTTTCATTAGTCTTGTAAACATATGACATAAATATGTATGAATACTATCTCAGAATAAGAGCAAAAAGTGGAATATTTTGTGCATGTAAATGAGTCACTGGGAGTTTTGTTCTCTTTTCCATGTCAAGTAAAGGTTAAATAATCACAATCCCTTCTGGAAATTTAGTTATATACAAAGCAACAATATGACATGTCTGAACCATATTTTATCTGCACCCACAACTGGCTAACTACACTGTACCTTTAGAGTTACACACAACAGAGCCATGAATGTACCTGGCTGTGAAGACAATACCTCTTGTTACATTCTCACTTTAAAAGATTTCCTGTAGCTAGACAGTCAGGCTGTGAGACCCAAGTCAGCACTGGCAACAGCAAAGCATCACTGTGCCTCATGGGATAGGAAATCCCAGAGATCTGCGCTCTCTATTTACACTAATTTGGCTTCCAGAGACAGTGTTTCCAGTGGTAAAGCTCCACTCTGCAAATGCATCCTCAGTGTTTTCTCATTGCACTTTTCTTTTTTTTCTACCATGCATGTGTCTTATCACAGCAGTACACACACACACACACACACACACACACACACACACACAAATCCTTGAGGGCAATCTAAAAGTGGCTGGGGAAAAATGAAAATGGCTGAGATGTTTGTCAGGTTTGTAAATGTAATGGGCTTGAAGCGTGTGGCAGAGTAAATAAATAGATTGCTGTGTTGAATGTAAATTACCAGATGGCTTTCATTGTGAAATATCAGATGACTTTGAAACAGAATATGAGACTACAAGAACGGCAATCAGATTGGAGGGGGACAAGAGAGCAACGCTGGCCCTTCATCATAAATACGCTTTTTATACAAAACCTACAAACTAACTCCATTTGCAGACACTAACAAAACTAACACTCTGATTCAGTCTGAGCTCTCTTGTCAAACTTGCTTCCAGCCACAACCAGCAATTGTGTTTTCAGTGAAAAAGCTCTGATAAACCCACTGAACCTACTTTCCCAGCACCAAACAGCAGATAAAGACTAGCTTATAAACACAGTGGAGCATTTTGCTGCTAAAGAGACAGATATTTTTCTCAGGTATTGACAAGAGATAAAAGAATCTCAAAAGGAATGTTGGATTAACATTTGCCAGATGGCCAAAAAACATGCATCCAAAAGAATGGTAATGTGTCTGCTGGACGTGTACATAAGTAACTATTTGCCATAAGTTAACCTCATTGAGTTTATACTGCTTCCAAACAGCCAAACATTACACAATGCACATTTGGGTTAAATTTTAGCACAACTAAAAATAAAAGTCAGTTTCAGCTAAAATCAATTTCAGAAGTTTAACAAGACAAAGAGACAAAAGCCACACTTCAGACTCTGTGTGAGTTTACCTAAGTTGGACACTGCCTTGAGCTAATTACCACAGCTAATTGCTACAATGCTGATGTTAAGCAGGTATAATGTTAATCACTTTCTCCATATTGCATGCTAACATTTGCTAATTAGCACTAAACAAAAAGTACAACTGAGGCTGATGGGGATTGGCAGGGATTGGTCATAAACTAAGGCGTCACAAATTAAAAATTTGGCCCTATGATGGTAAAAACTCAGAAGATCACCAAGAACACAGCTTATCAGAATTCATTGTGAGGGGGATATACATGTTTGTACCAGATTTCAAGTCAATCCATCCAGTTGTTCAGATAGTTCACAATTCACCACAAATCTGTGTTGCCAGAGAAAAAGTCAAGGGATCTCCTGAGTTATTGGGATACATTCTCTGGGCACCATGGATACCTGTACCAATGGCAAAATTTTAGTCTGGACCAAAGCAGTGGACAGAGCGACCAACCAACACAGCTTCATTGCCATCCCTGGAGCCATGTGGCTAAAAATATCCCAGTCTAGCCGTGACTATACAACCATACATCACATGGAAAAAAGTCCCTGCATGAGTGTGCTTTACTGAACAGATGTGAGTAATGTTTGGGAGGCTGACCTGCAGGCTGAGTGCAGAACTCCACAGAGATTTCCCTCTTCTCTCTCTGATCCATCGGAAGCTGCCAAGGCACCTGATGCGGCTGCGCCACAACCTTCACCTTGTAAACTGTCATGGGCTTCAGGTTAAAGAACTTGTACTTGTAGCCCCCTGCCTTGACCATGTCGTACTCTGCACCATTGAGGAAGATGGTGTGACTGTAGTTGCTGTTGCTGGGCATCCAAGAGAGCTCAGCAGAGACCTGCGTGATGCTGTCCACCCGCAGGTAGTAAGGTGCCACCACCACATCCTTTCCCACGAGCAGAGTGCACCGGAGCTCGTCTGACGGGCCCCGGTCAGTGATGCTCTGCACTGAGATTCGGTAGGTGTTGGTGGCCAGATTGAGCTTTTCAAGAAGGGACTTTGTCCTGCCCCCGTAGGGGACACTCATGCGTAACTCCTTATCCACCAAGACATTGTAGCCACTGATGGAGCCCCAGCCCGGTGGGACCACAGGAGGATCCCAGCCAATAATCACGCTCTTGGCCAGTTGTTTAATCAGGTTGATGCGGCGGGGATAAGGCACAATGTCTTCACCGACCTCGTCAATGCTGACATCCAAGGTTCCTGTCCCGTTGCTGGAGGAGCCCAGGAGGTCCATGCCCAAGCTGCTGGTGCTTAGACAGTCTAGTTTACCGTCAGACAGCAGGCTGCTTATGCCTGTTCCCATTCCTGTGCCCACTTTCAGTCTCTGAGGCCCCAGGCTACTGTGGTTGAGGTAGCCAGGTTCTTTAGCCACTGTGTCCCTGTGCTGGACAGAGGGTGTCTCCTCATCTTGGACAAAATCCACAAAATTGGATGGGACGAGTCCCCGCTGTCCATCCAGCAGCTCTCCTGAGAAACAAAAAGCAGATAGTTGGTACTGTGGTGATACTGAATAGAAAAGATTGAACAAAACCAAGGCAGGTCAGACCTTCGTAAAAGCCATCCTCATCCATTGTCCCATAAACGTAGAGGTACTTCCCTGCCACCAGGGGGAGCTCTGCCTCAGGATGCTCATTAGGCCCATCATAAGGATTGTAACTACAGTGAAAAACATAAAATGTACAATTCATCTGCAGAGGTGTTATATCTACACATCTTTTAATAATAACTGTGCACCATGTCAACCACTCCAATCCTCTAATATGTATGTCAAGGGACAATGTCTTGCTGAGAGCTTGTTTGAAAATATGAAGTTTGTTTCTATTTTTTATTTTCTATTCTGTTTTTTTTTTTTTACAGATATGAGAGCACTGAGAAAAGTGTGGGTTGAAAGCTGTGGCCCTGTTTCACATATTTGTGCTCTGAGGATTCCAATTATTTTTTGTGCTGACAGGTAATTTTCTTTAGAGATAGAAACACTGAATCATCTTTAAGACTGCAGCCTAAAGCTCTGTGAGAGAAAGCAAATAGTCTCAGTAAGATTTGTCCATGACTTGTCCACACTGCGCAGCCAGTTCTGTTGACTGTAAAGAGGTGTGTAAAAGACTGTTGGCCACCTCTCCTGTTAATTATCACCCTCTCTTAGGATTTTCAGCTGTTTGAGGGTTTGTGTTATGTTAGCACAAAGCTCCTGTTAACACTTACTCTGAAAATGTATTGAAACCACTTAAAAATATTTCAAAATTAAAGCACTATAAGGACTTTAACAAACTTGTTAGAAACAATCGGTGTCTCATCCCACACTGATCTGATTACAAATTTCAGGATGAGGTTGTGTATTTTTTCTGTGTTTAGTGGTGAATAGGTGAATAAGTAATTTTGTGTAATGTCTACGTACCTGTACCGAGCAATACACAGACGAACTTTCCCCGTGAACCTCGGTTTGGACCTGGTAGTTGAGCTGAGCTCTTTGTCCATCTAGGAAACCCAACAAAAAGACAATAATAACCCTATTTTCAGCATGGAGATCTATTTGTGTTTTCACCTTTCATATCATACTCAGAAAAATAGAGTGGCAAGCTTCGTAAGTTAGAATAAAGAAGCAAATAAACTAGTTTGAGTTATATAGTTATATGTTTGAGTATGACACTGTAAAATCAAAAATACTGGGCCTGTATATCCCCGTGTCTGTGCTCTGTAATTCGCTGAATGTCTTCCACAAAATTGGAAAAAAAGAACACAACATGCACAATATGTCTTTTGTTTAAACATTTCACCTCCTGTGCACTAAAAACATTTTTATCAGTCCTAAATTGTGTGAAACCAGGAGGCCCCCTGCACACCTGCTGCATGGATTTTCTCTTGTTCAGCCCAAACACATTACTTAGATTAAAATGAAGAAGCAATTTTTTCCCACAATTGTGACAAACTGCTGTTTGTTCTAAAAACTAACAAAGGCAAGGTAACATATCTAACTTTGTTGAGTTGAGCTCACTTAATGCTGTTTAGGTGACACTCCACAACAGGATTTAATTTGGGTAAACAGGGCAGAATAAAGCAGTACTTTGGGATTCCTCTCTGTTGCTGTCACACGTCGTCATTTCGGATGTTTAAATAGTCTTGCCTTGTGCATGTCATGGAAAGTGTAAATGGAGTAATGTGCAACAAAGTGAAAGCCATATGGGACACAATTAGACACTATCACATACCTCAGAGAGGAAAGCCCGCGCTGGGCTGCTGACTCGACCGCGAGTGAGGAATGTTGGCTTGACAGAGAGGAGCTCGGGCTTGTCTCCACTGATCTGGAGGGGTCGAATGAACTCAGATATCAAAGATCTGCTTGTTGGAGCCTCATTGCCTGTGGAACAAACAGAACTTCTCTCATTAGATCTTCACATCAAAATGTAACAGAACTAATATCAAACTTGTGATCAAAACAGAGAGAGACAGGCAGAGAGTTACAGAAAACACAACAGAAACTTAAAAGGACAGTTCACCACAAAATCAAAAGTACACATTTTTCATCTTACCAGCAGTGCTTTTTATCACTCTAGATTGTTTTGATGTGTTGGAGATATCAGATGTAGAGATTTCTGCCTTCTATCAAATATAATGGAACAAGATGGCACCCGGCTTGTGTTGATCAAAGTGCCAGACGGATACATTTTTAAAAAACCCAACAGGGATGTCTCTTTCCAGAAATCATGACGCGGTTACTAAAAGGAAATCCACAGAAGTTATTGTGAGAAGTTTCATATCAGCCAAACATATCACCATGCAGAAGGAAGGGTGCATCTACTCATGGACGAGAGGCTCGTGACAGCCCGAGATGTAAACTTTAATAGCATCCTCCTTGGCTGAGCTGTAATGTTAGCTAGCTCAGAGGTGCTAGGTGAGCTAGCAGTAGATTCACTCTTCCTTCTGTTTGGTGATACAGTTGGCAGGTGTAGTTTGGTAGAAAGAAAATAGTTCCTGCATAAAACTGCTCTCATCAAGGTCTGTTAATTGTCTTGAGTAACCAGAGGCCTGTGCAACAAAGCAGGATTTGAAGTTAGCAAAGTAGCTTCAGGGTTAACTCTAGGTCTTCAGTACTACCAAGCTGGTTCTCTTTTTACTGGGATAAATCACCTCGGCAACTTATGCTGAACAGCTAACCTGCTCCAGAGCAGGTAAACTTCAGAGTATCAGATCACAGGCTGTCAATGGCCCGACCTCTGACTAATCAGATCACTGAAGAGAAAAGTATCCATGGACGAAAGTCCGGAGTGAAAGGTAAGGTTTTAAAACAGAGCTTCTAACAAATGGAGAGATCGTTTACACACTAAACACATGATTTTAGCAGGATTTGGAATTATGCAAAGTTTATTTTAGTCCACAGTGACAGTGCTGCTACTTTTACACTCTGATTCCATCACTGCAGCTCAAAATAACATGAGACACCTTTGTGATGAGAACTAGGATAAAACAGATAATTTATTATTCATTTTATTAGTAAAATAATCCACAAACTGTTAACTGGCTCCCATTATTATAAATGCCACATTTCGGTCAGATAAACCTCATCAGTCATTAACTACTGTTCCACTCTTTACTTCAGCAGCAGAAACAGTCTGGCATCACTTTAAAGTGTTTTATGTGACATATGCAGAGAAGTATTATCACCAACTAACTAAACAGCAAAAAATCCTCTATACTAATGTCACATATGCCCATAGCTCAGTGATACCTGATTGCAATTTAAGTCTCAGATGACGGTCCATTTGTGGAGTGTTTTCAATGTTTTTAGATTTCCTGTTTTGAGATTACAGATTGTTGTTTACATCCAGCGTCACTGACATGTTTGTGTCTCGTCGATTAAACACTTTTGCTACTGTTTCATCACGTCATATGAAGCAGCCTACTTCATTCATGGTTCTGATGATGTCGCTCATAATTAACAACCTCGCCTTTTTCACATGAACGCACTCGTGGCTGGATAGCAAAACTAAGAGTTGACTGAACAGGTTGATAACCAGCTTTGTTGTACTGGTTATCCAGACAGCCAATGTTAGGGTTAGTCAAACCAGATAACAAGAAGATATCCTGGGTAAGTTGAACTGGCTTCATAGTACAGGTTTCAGGGCATGATTTCTGAAAAGAGACATTGCTGTTGAGTTTTTCACATGTATTTTTGGCACTTTGAGCACCACAAGCCGAGTGCCATCTAGTTTCATTATATTGGAGAGAAGACATCTCTACGGCCGATATCACCAACACTCTGCAGCTCAAAACTTTAACCTTGTATTACAGCAGGTGTCATTTAGCTTGATATCTCAAGGTACTGTACTCTTCTGTTTCTAATAATGTGTAAAATAAATCAATCAATAAATATATAAGGTAAAACTTGATCGCAAGAGTTGTAAATAGTGAAACGTTTGTGTATTCACAAAAATGAGTCAAAAACAAACCGAGAACAAGTTTTGCCAGCTCCAGGCTATTTTTCACTGTGACTGATTGATTAATTCATTAACAGTTTGTGTTTACTGCGGATTAAGTCAGAAGCCTCTCGACTTCTAATTTCGGCAGTCAGTTTTTCCATCTAATTGTGAGGGAACTGACTCCTCTTCCAATATGTGCAGTGTGGACTTACTGCCAGCAGCTCTCACATGACAGAAATGACATTTATTTGATTGCACAGCATTTTAATGTGCTAAGTTAATTTGGTGGCCTCTTATTTATTAACTTGAGATGTAGATGAGTTTCAGCTACTTGAAAATATGACAGCTAATCAATACACACACACACACACATATATGTGTGTGTGTGTGTGTGTGTGTGTATATATATATATATATACACACACACACACATACATATATATATATATACATATATATATACTTTTTTTTTTTTTTTTTTTTTAAGCAAAATACTTATGCTTCAATACTAACATATGAAGTATAAGACTGATTAAAATAAATAACTTCATCACAGCATCAATAAGATGATAGACTTACCTTTTCCTATGGGGGCAGCCAGTCCATTGAGGAGCTGTGAGAGGGATTTGTTGGGCGACCCAGGAGATTCACATAAAGTTAAGGGTTCAGTGCTGAGGATATCAAACTTCCCAGCCTGGAGCCGGAACTTCTCCAGCTCTTTTGACAGGAGGTTGAACTGCTCACTCTGAGACCGGCATTTTTCCTCCAGCTCGCGGACTTTGGCCTGATGGCGGTGAGGGAGGAGAGTCATCGAGAGAGGAGTGGGAGACAGCGAGAGAGAGAGACAGAAAGAATGACAGACAGACAGTGGCAGGGAGAGACAGGATGGGAAACAAAAGAAAACAACAGAAGAAAAATAAGGAAATCACAGGATGCAGGAATGACCGTTCTGCACACAGAAAAACCAGAGTACACACAGTACAGTAGGTACGTATACAACGCTATACGTCTACTGTCTACACACAAATAGAACATGGATAAGATTTACATAAGGACTTATATCGTGGACTGGTCATTACAGAGAAAAACCTCTTGAAATGACTTCAGCTGTTACTGACGGTATACAAATCACATGCACAACTACAGTTAGTGCTAATAGTATTGAACATAGAAAAGCCTCTTGTGTCAAGGCAGTATGCATACCCAAACTGCACAAAGTCTTAGAGGATGAGACTGATGATATTTTCTTTTTCTTTTTTTTGTTATTGTCAAGGTATCCCTTGAAAAGACCAAACCAACAATAATTTTGTCTTACTAACAAAAGTTCTGTCTGTGTAGCCAAAGCTTGATATTCTTCTGGGCCACAGAGCTTCATTGTTTACTGTTAAAAACACATCAGTGAGACTCACTGTTGCACTGGGTAACATGTTCCTTTATTATGGTGAACATGGGCATTGTGGTTCATTTGAAGTCAAACCCACATACTGCACTGTACATCACACCAAACACCAAATTTGTATTAATCTGCAGCTGAAAATAGTCCCCAGTAAATGCGCTATTTACTTGTGTTTGAGTAACGATTGCTAGAAACTACAGTGCCCAGCTGGTTTGGGGAATTCCTCCAGTTGTTTTTTTGTGTTGTTTTGCTTTGGGGGGTTTTACAGTTGGAAATGTATATGTGTGACAATATATTATAACTGATTTCAAAGTCCAGGTAAAGCAAAAATAAATGTGTGTCCTGAGTTTCTCACACCACAGACAAATGTGCTACTAACCACCAAGCCAAATTTGATAATTAAAAAATTAGGTTTCAAAACTGTGAAAAAATAGATACTGTGGGCTTATCCACTGAAGGCACTGAGCTGAAGAACGAGCCACTGCGAAGTGATAGACTCTCTTTAGCAACTAACACAGTAGCACACCCAGTCTGTAGACAGCACACACACCCTGAACCAAAGGACAAACTCATGGCATTTAAGAGAGCTGTTTATTCATATATTTACTGGACTTAACAAGCTAAGAGAGCTTGTGGGACGTAGAAAACTCACAGCTCACACACAGGGGGCTGACGACATGACACTTATGATATGTGCTCTAACTTTAGTAATAACACAGTCTGTATATAGCGGGGGAAGAGTTATTTTAAGGATGGCTCCAGGGGGGCACGGTGGTGCAGTGGTTAGCATTGTCCCCTCACAGCAAGAGGGTCCCTGATTTGAACCCAGGGTGGGGGTTATGAGCCCCTCTATGTGCGGAGTCTGCATGTTCTCCCCATGTCAGTGTGGGTTTTGTCCGGGTACTCCCTCTTCCTCCCACAATCCAAAGACATGCAGGTTAGGCTAACTGGTGACTCTAAATTGCCTGTAGGTGTGAATGTGAGCATTAATGGTTGTCTGTCTCTATGTGTCAGCCCTGTGACAGTCTGACGACCTGTCCAGGGTGTACATGTACGCCGCCTCTCGCCCAATGTCAGCTGGGATAGGCTCCAGCCCCGTGCGACCCCTAACAGGAGAAGCCATTATTAAAAAATGAATGAATGAATGGTTCCAGTTGTCATCGAGCCATGATTTCAGGCCCACCCAAACATCCTGGACACAGAAATGGCGAAAAACACTTTAACAGTCTAACTCCATGATTCAGTACTACAACAAGTATTTCTAACATGTATCCCGAGTTTTGAAAGAAATCACTGATTTTGCTTTACCAGAATTTTTTATTGAGAATAAATGGACTCAGAGCTGAAAGTCACAGACAGAATAGGGAAGTTAGTAAATGTTGTTGGTAGTGGTCTTTTCCTGGGATTTGTTTGCAATAACAAATATAGAAAATATCACCAGCCCTATACTTTAAGAGCAGAAAACTTAATTGCACAAACTAACACTGAGAAACTGAACATCACTGTTTGGGCAGGTATAAAGGAAATTCCAGGTGCTAGAGCTTCATTTCTCAAGTTAAATGATCAATCATCAAAAATCACTTCTCAATCTCAAACTGACAACAATCTGAACCGGAGATGTTCTGGAGGACACTGAAGCTACCGTGGAATTTTTTAGTACTGCCCAACACACAGCGACACCCCCTGCTACTACTGTACAGTGCTGCCTATGCTCTTCTGTTAAAACACTGAGTCCATTCCATGCACACATGTTGTTGCTAGATATAACATGCTGTTAGCAGACACACAACGAAGGAAGTCCTGCATGTTTGAAATAGAATTAGTAAATTAAGAGGTATTAGTTTTAATAGCATCATACAGTTCTCAGCTGTATGGAAAGTAGACAGGTTTAAAACCACATGCTGACTAACAGACATGCAATGCTACAATGAAAAAGGATCACAGTCATCGCTTGGTGATGTGATCCTTTTTAAAACAATACACTCTTATACACTCAGAAAGCTACTATCTACTGTATGCATCAATATTACAGATGTAATGACTAATGTTTATGTGCTCTAGATGAAAGCTTTTAATTTAAAATATCTGGAATACAAAAGGACATCCAGACTTTTTACTGACATTTATTTTACCAATCAAATAGTTAATCTGCATTCATTTATTGCAGTTTGATATTTCTATTTGTTCACATCTAAACACACACTTTAATCACGCGTTTGGTCTTATAAAGTTAAATTTGCACACCTCGATGTGTTGCTGGGCTTTGATTATGTGGGATTGAGGTCGGTCACTGCGGCCCCAGGCATTCCTCTTTAATTGAAGTCGCTCCATATTCTGAATCTTTTCATCAATTGTTAAGTGAGCGCCGCTGAATTTTTCTTTATGATCAAGTCAGAAAGACCTCCAGTTTATGCTGTCAGTCATGTTCCAGACTTTCAAAAAGCTCTCCGCTTGCGAGTTTGCTTTGATGGGAAATGTGAAACAGAGCTGAGCGGGTAGTAAAGAAAAGAGGCAGCCCTGAATATTTCTGAAAACCAAAAAGCAAAGATCACACATCAGATTAGTTCTGTACTGATGTATGCTTTCCGTTACCTTTTACCTTTTGAGCACTTCTATATTCATCATGTTTATGATCAATATTAAACTTAGACTATGATGAATAATTTTGTTTGTAATGTGGTGTTACATCACCACTCCCCCTTGGCCAAAGTAAACATGGGGATACTGTATTATTGACTATACTGGGAAAAGTGGAAAAAAAGATCTAATAAATAAATAAAAACAATTCTGAAATACCTGCATGCTGTCCAAGTGGTTCTGTATAAGCATAAACACACACCCATTCAGTAAAAAGAGATGTAGGAAAGAAATAAAGCACAATTACACATGTGATCACTCATACGCATCTTGAAAGCACAACACTCTTGAAATCTGCTTTGAAACTCACACATACACATCACCTCATTACAATGCTAATAGAGAGATGAAATAATAGATAATGACATTTTGTTGTTTACGATTTATTCACCTTTCTGAAAACGGCTATTTACACATCTCTGTTAATTTTAAATCTGTCACTCACATGTCAATTTAACAATATTTTGAAAAGAAAGCTATAAACTTAGCCTAGGATTCATATCTTAAAAAATAAGAACTTGAAAAAAAAAGCATAAAGGTTTGGGTAGTGAGGTCAAAAGAGCAGGAAATGGCTCTAGGCAAACACAGATCTGCCCCAGGGCTGACTAGTCCCTTATCCCCAAGCAGCAACCACATAAACACACACAGTCAACCCACCCCCAGATTCCAGACGCTCACCTCTAACAGATGGACAGCGCCTTCATGTTCCTTTTTTGCCTCAACCTGAGCCTGGGAAATACAGGGTGCAGCGTTTCAGTTCACTGTCATTTATGTTGCAGTTAAGTTTCAGTTTAAAACGCCAATGAAAGGGCGTTTACAGACAAACACCTTTTGATTCATTGGTGCTCAGGGTGAAAATGGTTGGAAAGAAAGCCACTATCTCTGTCAGCAGTATGGGAGGCAACGATGAAGCTTATCAGCAGTTTATCTCTTTACCTCACATTAATATTTTCCAACAGAGCCTTGATCTGAGCAATTTGGACTTAAAGTGGAAACAGACAACTTTTCTCCCCCCTAGGATTTCCAACTGGTATTAGTATTAGCACTGCTATCACAGTCAAGTTAAAGCAAAAAACTTGTCTATTTCTACTTTAAAGAGATATCAAGATATTGTGGCTTTTCTTGCACCATTTTCACCTTTTATATTTTATGTTTCTTTAAGGTTATTTAATGGTCAAAATGCGAGTTATGCAACATATAACAATTATGTACATGCAAGAAAGTTAACAGAATCAAGGAAGCATTTGTGCATTTGTCAGTTTACCACACTTACCTGTGAAGACCTGCCTGAGAGCATCTAAACCAGAGGTCTCAAACTACCAGCCTGGGGCCAGATCGGGCCATACAAGAATTTACATCTGGCCCACAAATAAATGTTTCGCATTTCATTTTTCCCCAAAATAGAAATGGTCAAAATCATTCCATCTTCAAGCAAGCTCCTCCTCCAGCTATAACATCTGTTAGAACACCAGCTATGGTGCTGAAACTGCCTCTTAATTAGCATTTAAAGGAATAGCTGAAATCAACATTTTGGGAAAATACAATTATTCATTTTCTTGCTGAGTAGACTGATACCTCTTTCATGTCTGTCTGTTAACATGAAGCTACTGTCAGCACTTGTTTAGTTACTGGAGCTAAGCACAAAGACTGTAAGTGACAAAATAATTTAACCTGCCTACCAACCAGCAACTCTAAATATTTACACACTTTATCTCATGTGTTTAATCCACTAGTATAAAAACAACAGTTATTGCCCTTAGTAGTTACCATGCAACCAGCGGAGACTTCAAGAAGTTACTAGTGCCAGCCAAGACAGAGTCTGACTCATAAATCAGCAAACAATCAACATGTTGTGCAGTATAGTTGCAGCAGCACTTTAGCAATGACCAACAGGACTCCTCACAGCACACCAGACATCCTAATGGCTCTCTCTCAACTTAACAGAAACACTGATGTGAAGCACAGACAGTTTCAAGGTAAATGGACAATTTGTTTCCAAGGAGTTTTAATGCAACTTGTTCCAACACAGAAAGCTGTCATTCTCCAGTAACACAGGGTGTTCAAGTGCCCCCATTAGGAAGGCACCTGGCCACTGGCCCCTAGGTAATTGGAGTTTGAGACCCTCATTTATGTAAACTGTCCTGACATTGCAATCCCTGATATCTTGACTCCAAAAAACAGATTGGTTGCTACATTTTCTGTTGATTTGATGATTACTAGAGTTGTTCTTATAGTGCCTAAAATGCTGGACTGGGTATTGCTGAGTAACCAAGGCTATGCACTGATCCATGAGCATGTAATTCATTAAAAAACTTTAAAGTAGTTTCACATCCGGATGAAAGAGTGGTTTTCTTGGAAATCAATTCTTCTCCCCTGCTCTTAAACAACAGTCTACACAGCAAGTGGCCCTGTGCGGCCACTGGCAACTACTGTTTGAGAACTTTTAAGAACAACTGATTTCTAATAAATAGTGTTTTGTTATCTGTGAGCAAAATGTCAGCAATTTGTATACACAGTATTTTACAGTGGATAAAAGGAGGTTTTAGGGTAGAAGGAAAGAATAGTAACGGAATATCTTTAATGATTATCTACTGTAGATGGTCATTCAAACAATGAATGTGTTGCCAGGGTGTGTGCTTCAGTGGATGAGTAAGTTATGTTTGAGAAAAATGGCCTTGACTAACGCTCTGTGCAAACAAGCATCATTGTAAACAAATTTTTAAAAGATGTTCCATCTATAATAAATGAGGGATGCTTGTGCATTCAGGAGGAATAAGGTTTGGGTATTATAGAAGCACTGAGCTGTATAGAAACATAGCACAACACATGCTATTTTTCTTATGGGAACTAGAAACATCTGTTGAGAAAAACAAGTGTTCCACATGAATATGAGAGCATCTGTGGACTTTGCAATTTCATAAATCTACTTTGCAGGCAATTAATTTGGGAGAATGCAGAGAGCAGCCAGTGTCTGAAGGAAGATAAGGCAGTAATGAGCTTCTGTTAATGAGAGAAAAAAGCTGAGAACTCTGCCTGTGAAAGGCTGACTGTGAAGTTAGAGCAACACTGCAGCAACAGCAACACTGAGGATACACACACAGTTTCTAGAGAAGGCATTGGTGACAATTCCTATCACGTTCACACTATCAGCAATCTCAGCCATTGCTAAGCCTGCTTTGACATTACAGTCAGCTCCAGTGCACAGAGGAGGAAGCCCGACCATCAAATGGCCTGGGCCAGCAATTTTTGCTTAAGCAAGACTCTAAAAAGTGTCATATCTACTCTGAGTTTTGAATGTTTGATTTGCTAGCTTGTAACAAACAAGAGGAGTGCTCCTGAAATGGTGAGCACCCAGGGTTTGGAGAGTGACAGACAGCTGAAGGATGGGGCTGAGAGGAAAGAGCTTCAGTAGTGCCAGTGATGGAAATGATTAGTGCTATAGCCTATAGAGAGCATCTGTCTTTGCCCTGCTCTCTATAATACAGTCTTTGAGTTGACTTTCACCTTTTGTTGGACTGTGCAAGTGCTCAACAAATTCTCTGTGACTTATGACACAGGTGCAGGCTGAGCAAACAAGAAAGCCTGAACCTCTGGTGCTGAAAGTGTTATATAACCTGAGCTCCCTTACCTTCTGAAGAACTTCAATCTCCTGCTGCTTTGCATTGAGTACAGCCAAGGCCTGCTCATGCTCCAACTCTAGTTGCTGCCTCCGCTCCGCAGCCTCGCGCATATGCTGTCCGCAGAAGGTGCAGGGGTGGAGAGCCAGGAGGGAGGATTGTGGAGGGGGTCGGGGGTGGGGAGCATAAAGAGGGCTGCTGTTAGTGGAACTAAAATCCAGTGGCACTGAGCCAACACAAAATGCATCTCCAGTCTTCGACTCCACACTCAGAGACAACACAGGTGTTACATGTGCACACACATCACACATACAGAGGCTGGTTAACAAGTGTACTGACCTTTAAAAACCCTTAAAAACAAGACATAAACTATGCCACAGCAAATGCCATGTGGGAACAGTTTATGTCGAATGATCTGCGGGAGAGATCAGATCAAATTTTTGCACAAAGGTGCTAATGGATGAGGACTAGAGATGCTTTGCTGTGTGAACAAAAAACTAACATCAATCCACAGTCAGGTTTGCTGCCCCCTTTAGGTAACACAATACCTGTTAGAATTCTGGTTACGGTTAGAAGTCTGGTGGACTGTTTGAAAAGCTGTCCTCAGCGATGTTGTCTTTGCGTGATCAATACAGGGTTTTACGTTACATGAAAAGGGTGAGCAAACTCCGTAGCGTGCTCACTTGTCTGTGGTCATCCATAACAACAAAAGAAGCCATACAATACAAGGGACTGAATGCTAGGCTCTTCATAGCACAATATGCCCGTGTCATCCAGTCACACCACTGCTCCCACTATATGTGAATACTTGCGACACTGTCAGGTGAGAGAAGCAAATGACATTTTCATGCCAGTAAAAATTGAGGTCTAAGATAGGTAATGTCATCAAACATGTGGGTGACATTATCATCATGAAAGGTGACCCAGTCTCTGTAACTCCTCTTCCTCCCCCTCCCGTCATCATAAAGCCAAACTCTTTGTCCTGCCTCATGCAAAAATCACATTCCACAGTGCTGTGGTCTTATAGCCAGGTGACCATTCGTATGTCTGGTAAGCAGCCCACGGATAAAGGGAGAGATAAGCACAGCCACTGAGGTGGACAGAAAGCATTCAGAATGGGATTGAATAGGACTGCTCCCTAACAGATGGACGTAGCAGTGATACCTTATAAATCTAGCAGGGGGAGAAGGGACAGGGAAGGTGGGGAGGGAGAGGTCAGGGAAGGTAGGACAACATGAAAGGGTGAAATAGGAAAGGAAAGGAGGGAAGGGGGGGGCAGACTGCTCCAAGCTTCTACTCTTTCACAGCTCCTGGTCAGACCTCCCAACACGACACTGGAAGGCAACAGACATGTCAGGGACATTAGACAGTATAGCGGAAGATAACCAGATGGAGGCAGTGTAGCACAGGTAGGAAAAGGGGTACTGGCAAAGGGTTAGGCTCCATAAAAACACCTGAATTAGGATCCCGGGATAGACGGACTACTTGAACTAGAAATGCACACAGTACTGAGAGATTCTGCGGTCAAGTCTGCCCTTGGAGCTGGCGTCCTCACCTTGAGCACCTGCTCTAGGTTCTCCAGTTTGCCTTGGAGCTGGTTCCTCTCCCACAGGGCTAAATCTCTCTCCTGCGTCACAGCACCAAGGGTCTCTTTGAGCTGGGCATACTCAGACTTCACCTGTGCAGACAGAACAAGCAAGGAGCAAAGACACTGAGTTTGAGAGTGCAGCCGTACTACACTTCTTTGGGTCAAACCAGGCTGGTAATGTTTTAATCAGATGCATTTTTAGATTTGGTTTTCACACTGCTCTAAATTGATTTTTAGTTTTTTTAGGAATACTGGAAGGTTCATGTTTTTATTTGTAGATATCAGAGTGGTCATTCTGCTCCTGTATGAAAGAGGTTACCCTTTCAGGTGTCCTGGTGTGACTATTGCCTCCTGCCATCTTAAAGTTTAATGAGCCAGAATTCTCCGAGTCTCTTTGTTCACTGTCAGAAAATGGTCAGATATAGTGTTCAATCTATGACAGTGGTGAGAATGTCAGCACAGAAAGTTGATAAATTAATGGCTATATATTTACTCTTCTCATTTTCCTTATAACAAGCTGATATTTTTTTGTTTTGGAACTGCTTAAGTTAGTAGGTGTCCTGCCTGGGTGTTTGCTGCATGGAGAAATTAAAGGTACCCTGTGGAGTTCTCTTGTAGATAAACAAAGGTCCGTTAACAGTCACTCATCATAATGCATTGTGTGTATCCTTGAGGCCTAACAACGTTCTGAATGCCTTTCCTTCCTCATAAAACCTCTGCAATCTATTTTTTTATGTATACATTTGAAATCTGCATTGTTTACATCCATCTTAGCTAACTTCAGGTCTGCTTCTTTCATGTATTGTGCTCCTGTATTACCACCACGTGATGGTCAGTGTTATAATGAGAAAATATTAGCAGGAATGTGTATCACGTCAATCATTGGCTTGTGTGCTTGAGATCCAAACAAAATGGGGTCCCACTCATCAAAACATTGTTACTGCGGTCAAAAACTCCACAGGGTACCTTTAAAGGCTAAGTTGTGACTAATGGGAACAACAATTTTTTTTTAATGAAACAGGCTGCAACGTAACAACTCAAGCCATGTGTGCAATGTCAGTTTATGTCCACTAAAAGTGTTTGTTTCTGCCACTGACAGGCTCAGATTGGTATTCTAGGGATCTCTACAAAGACAGACCTTTTTGTAAGAGAGTAAAATCCTTTTTGTTTAACCAGAAACAGCCCTTAAATTGCTATGGCAAAAGCCACCAGACTCCAAATAAATAATCAAAGCTCGGGCATATTTTTACATCTAACTTCAGTTAAGGGTTTATCTTAACCATCCAGAGTTGTGATTGTTGCAGCAGTGGAAAGACAAACCAAGATGGTTTTTAAGAGTTTTATTTTGTTTCTGCCGACTTTTTATGAAGTGTGTTTTAAGAAGATAATCTTACTGTATTTAAATGGAGTCTGGTGGGCTTAGTGATTAAAAAAAAAAAAAAAAAAAAAGGATCTTACTTCTTACCAAAAAGGTCCATCTCTGTAGGGAACCTTCACATATTGTTGTCAGACACTTAAGAGTCATAACCTGAACCTGTCAGTGGCAAAAACATCCACTTTAATCGGACATAAATTGATGATGCGATCATCCCCCAAATAGTTACATTACAACTTCCTTCACAGCAGCCGGATGCAGGGCTCTTGCTTTATAATTGACCAATTTCAAAAATTGTTGTTCCCAATAGTCTCTTAGATACAAAAGGCAAAAAAAAAGGTCTGGTTGAAAAATACCAAACTGACCCTTTAAGGGTGGCTCAAAAACCATGCTACAATTATCTATGATTACTATGTTGGCAATGATAAAAACTATTTCAAGAGCTTTACATTAAATGCATCATTGTGTAACTATAATAACAGTGCAATCACTACAGGGTGGTGGTAGGCAAAAGTCAGTAAAATAATACATTTGCTAATTAGCAAATTTCCATTTATTCACACTAGAGTATTACAGTGTCAGCATCTTACAAAAATAACCACTTGTCAGCTCGTGATTTTACAAGTTAAATAACCAGCTGTCTTATATTATTAAATAGCTGTGTTATTATAAATTAAATCCAAGCACTTACAGCGGTGGCTAAATTAACAATTTGCCACTTATTTCCTTTTCTCTAAGGTGGACAAAATGTCAGGAACACCATTCAGTAAAATCCAATTCAATCACACCACAAAGCCTCCCAACTGACTGTAGAGTTGAATGAGTGCCTTTTTTCGTACAGAATCAACAGAAACTGAATGAATGAACATAATGCACTACATAAAGGTAGAGCTGTTGCTTTGGAGTGAATTCCATTGCACAGCTGTTTCCATTTTTCTGGTAGTCACTGTCGATTTTAAGCATGATGCTGTAAAAAACGATTTGCTTTAACACTACCTAAAGCATTCAAAGCATTTAAAACAGGCAGAAACTGGTACAGGCCAGGCGTGGGAGCATTGCTGGTTTCAGTGATAAAAGCCTTTAAATATTATAATAATAATAATGCAAGAGTAACATAATTCACTGACTCCCATGGCTGTACACCGAAACATTAATAAATTATTCATGCTTCATTGTTAACCAAGCACTAAGCATTCAATTGACTAAAGCAATCACACATTATGTTAACACTGTATACTAATTCAACACCAATGAGGTTATTATGAACGACATATAAAATATTTGGCTGTTTTTATATTCCTTACAATCTGTCTCCCACAGTCCAATTGTATTGTTACTTAAGAGGCAGTATTTTTCAAATCAGCTTTTTAAAGGCCCCCCATTGGCAGCGAGATGACTGGTTCCTGCAGCAGTAATGTGGCAAAGCCCCTTCCTCAGAGCAGCCATGAATGACTAATGATTCCTTGAGGAGGGCGTTTCAACAAACACCAGCAAAGCAAAACATAAACAGAAACCAGTGAGTCTGCCTCTAAACCGCCCGCCTCTATACAGCAAAAACTATCCACATGGATAGGAGCGATTGTCAGACCTAATGTAGACAGATCGAATGAAACTATATTGGATCCAGCAGAAGCAGGTCAATAGTCTATTATGGGCAAAGGGAGGTGCTGTTTGTAGCCCCTCCTATTTCATTCAGAGACGATAGGGATCAGAACATGGGGGTGGAAGCGAGGGCTAATATCCGCACTGCCCTGCAGAGTGCTGCTCTCATATCCGTCAGTGTGATAACAGTTCAGCATTGCTGCTCCAGGAGCCACCCAAGTCCTGATAAGACATCAATAACCAGCATCCCACCCTTCTTCACCCTGACAGCAACTACCTGCCAATCAGCTCCTTCAGGAAATTGCCCTTCTGTCCATAGAGAGAGGCCTGGTGCTTTTTGTTTGTTGATCTACTTTACCTCTGCGTTATCGGCTCTGAAGGCCTTTCAGGTCTAGGGGCTAAAGAGAGGTGAGGGTGTTTTAATAGAACGGGAGGCTCATTGCTTTCATTCACGGGCCTCTGCTGAGAAAAACTGCTCTATCTATCCTGCATCCTCTAGTTTTGGATAAGTTATACCGTGACCCAGAAAGTCATCTGCTTACTGAGTGTTAATGTAAAGGCTGTGGCCTATGAAGAAACAACACAGAGTCTACAGCCATGTTAGCAGCTCTGTGAGGCTGTACTTAGGCACTGCAGTGTTCTGTGCAAAATGCTGATGTAAACATATTAACATGGTTGGAATGAAAATGCTAACATGCTAATGTCTGCAAGGTGTAATGTTTACCACCTTACCTTAACATTTTCTGAGTAACACCAAACACAAGGTACAAATGAGGCTGATGGGAGTGATTTTAGTTTTGCAAGTGTTGAAAGAAATACAATAATGACCTGATGGTGGCTCTATCCATGTCACTCCTAGACCCCTATGGGTGCAATCGTAACCTGTATTTTCCAATGGTAACAGTGCACTAATGGTACACTAATCCTCTTTCCTAGAGTGATTGGAAAATGAAACGTGGAACACACCACCTGTTACACCTCAGACAGAATGACTTGATCATATCTCTCTGACTGCCATCTCATCCCACATGATGCTGAATTTAGCAGACTTCAATAATATTAGCAACATAATATCAGTAGAGGAATGTAAAAACAAGTCTGTATTGACAAGCTTTGCACAGAAAACAGCCAGTATAGTCAAGATCAGACTTTTTAGTGGATATAAACACTTAAATCACCAAAATTACTACAATTCATCCTGAGGGCGATATGAATGTCTATACCACATGGCAATCCATCAGATACTAATCGACACGTCACTCAAAATCTCTTGGTGGTGCTTGAGTTTAAAAGCCAGAGAATCACCAAAGTCATTGGGATTTATGCTCTGGGAATCAGGTCTGTACCAAAATGCATGACAACTCATCCAATAGGTGTCAAGATACTTCACTACAAAACAAAATGTCAACCTCATGGTGGTGCTACAGAACAACTCAGGGGATCACCAAAGTCAGTATGATTCATCCTCTGGGGACAATGAATGTTGATTCATCCAATAGTCGTTCTGATTTTTAAGTCTGGATCAAAGTGGTTGACTGGCCGACAGACAGACCAACAGGGTCATCCATAGAGCCACGCCACCATGGCTAAAAACCAATTTTAGGGTGCTCAAAAGACGGATACAATATGAGCTTAAAATCATTTCAAGTGTGAATGGAGCAGCACTGAGATGTATACAGTTTGTGGTCAAACCTGAGGCCTTTTTGGCTCTTACCTTCTCATACTCAGATGCCTTGTGGCTATTGTTAAACAACTGGAGGTTCAAGTGTTTGTTCTCCTGGAGGAAATCTTGAAGCTCATTCTCCTAGACAAAAGAGGCAGAAAGAAAACCATGTTTAGAACTCAAGAAGTCACCGTGATTAGGCCAGAGCACAGCACTCAAACCCCGCATGTTGTTAGCGATAGCCCATGCATTATTCATCTGACGCGACTGCTCGAGGTTCTCTACATTCTAGAGGCTGCCATTTTAGACACTACAGTGCAACAACAATAATGTCATAATACTAGCTTTTCAACATACTGGAATAGATGTAATAAAAAAACATAAAACTTCACCTCTATGTGAGCAGATGTTAATCAAACATGCATTTTGATACCCTCCTAACCACACACTCCCCTACACGTACACACCCACACACAAACAGAGTCTTTTTTCCCCACTGTTTCTTTCCAAGTGTGTTGAGCTGACAGTAAAAAAATGCCATCATTGCAGAGGAGGAAAACTTAATTACATTCAATCAACAGTCGTGAGGCGTGCGGTGGATGCAATTTGCAGTGTCAACTGGAGAGTTCTCTGAGATGTGCAATTCACTGCCACTACAGCAGCAGCATGTAGGCCAAGTGGTGTTCTTGTCAGGAGCTAAGAAACCCACTAGCTCATGCATGATAAATTTACTGTAAATACAGTGTGTCTTAATGGCTGCTGATGGTGCGCCTGCTCCTTCCCCCTTATGTTTTACTTATGAAGGACGTTTCAGAGGGCAGATGGAAACAGGAGGTAAGATTTTAAAAAAACATGCAGGTAAGGATACATGAGGTAAGAGACTAGAATATGTTAAACATTTTCCATAACTGCTGTCCATAAAGCATTGTTACATTAGCAATAGTTGTCTGGCAAAAGCACACCAAGCATTAGGTGCTGGTCATAGCAATAGGCCTTTTTTAAAAACACATTTTGACATCTCACAGTAGGAGAATCACAGGCGTAAATAATAAAATTAATGATGACTGAATTACATTTATCTGCTTCAATTGCAGGGTTCTCGCACTGTGCATGCTCACTCACTGTAACACCTGTGCTTTATGTATACATAAAGTATATCAGGCTGCATCTGACACCAAACCAAATGTGGCCAAAAAGTTGATGATACAGTTATGTAATTGAAGCTTAGTATGCAGTCATCCTCTTTTTATCCACCTCATTCCCAGACCCCAAAATACCTTGCAGGAATTTTGGGCTGTAACCAGAACAGGCGTTTTCCAGTGGTAACAGTATTCTCTTTCCAAGAGCAACTTGGAAATCAAACATGTGAAACACACCACCTGTTGAATAATATGATCATACCTCCGTTCTACAGCCTCTAGCTACAGTGTTGAACCTTAAAGATAAAGTTCCCGACATACACAGTTGCACTCAAGAACATTACAATGAGCCTTAGAGACTGGGAGGTTTGTTGTCACTCTAGAGGAAGACTGTTAAAAATTAATTTTTTTAAAGAAATTAAAAATGAGGTTACTTTAGTGTTTTACTGTCCTGTATATAAGGACGTTGTACTTTACAGTAAAATGACCTCTATGTATGTTGATTTGTTTGGATGACCATGGTAAATTTAAGTAGTGTTTGTTCGCCAGGCCTGGGATAGAAAGCAAAGTATTTTGTTTGGGGACTGAACAGTAAAATAACACGTACTTTGACTGTTCACTGTAACATTATTGTTATTGTAATGGTGTCTTGAAAATCCATGAGTGTTGGGTACATGTTTGTGTGCATGAAACAGAAATAAAAATAAAAATACAAATCAAAAATCAAATTACCTCTGCCATCTCTGACAGCCATCTCAAAGCACTGGTTGTTTCCCTTTTTAACCAAGCATGTTGGTGATTAGCTTCCTTGCTCTGTTAGCATATTATTAACTTTAACAAAGCCCAAGCTAGCCTACCATAAACATCTACTCCTTCTAAAGTATGATTTGTGATTTCTTACAACTCACAAAAAACAGTAACATATATTCTTCAAACATTTAATGTAATTTGGAATTCATTTTAGCTCCATGTAAAGTGAATAAACATCATGTTTCCAAACTAATGCTCTACCCGTCTGCCTTAACAACACAGTTTAGACATTTTTATAACTGCTGATTTAATAAATCAAAATTTTACTGAATGAATCATAATGTCAAATTGAGCAGTGTACCTCAGTAATACCAGTAGTATAAAGTTGTAGTAAAATAAATAACTGCATGCATTAATTTTATATGATATGGAGGGGAGTATGACAAATCAGTAACCCTAGATAACTGAACACATATTTCAAGGTATGCTGCTGAGTTTATTTTATGATGGGCAATTTTCTATTGTAGGTTGTGAATGCAGTCTGACAGGGAAAGACACGTACTGATGTTGAGTGACAGATCTGTCATTCCAGGTCATTTTCTTCTGCAAATTCTGACTTAAAACTTTTCCACTGTCAGAGCTCCTTATTATTTCTTGTCATTCCAAGCATGTAAAAACGTAGTGTATGCAACAGAGTAGGACGTGCACAAAAATACAGGACAAATCATGTCCCGTTTTGATTTAGTAAGGGACAGTGCTTTGTTTTGTTGTTTTTGTTTGTTTTTTTTGCAATACAGGATGATCTGGTAGCGTCTTATGTGAGACGAGTGGGCACCTATTCCTATTCGGTTACAGAAACAATCTCTTTTTGTTCTGGATGAATGTTCAACACACTGAAGCCATAAATTCAGCTCAGTCCAGTTGTTCGTAACATAACAGACGTGGACAGTGCAATAGGTAACAGAGCTCCACAACGACAATTTAGAGAATACTAATTTAAATGTTAGTTAACTGTTAAAAAAAACAAGCAGTATGTTATAAATTAAAGGCAGATTACCTTTCAAAGGAACCACTGCTGGCAGTTAGACACAAGATCAGCCACTGGGACTAACTATAGACAGTAAATGCGACTCACTTGCTTACTGCTTCTTCTGCTATTGCACGGATATTCATTTCTACAATAGCGCCCCCAGGAATAAGGTGGATACAGAATTAATAAGGCATAAGGTACTCATACTACTGCTACTACTATTCCAATACTCAATAATAATAATAATGATAATGATACACTCTGATAGATGCAGTACAGTACATACATGTGCACACCATGGAGGGGGAATTTTGTCAAGGACAAGCAGGGACAAGTAAACAACAGCCTAAAGAACCAAAGTCACATCTGAGATCTGCTGCTTTTCCATTAATTTCATTTCTGTCACGTCCCAAAAAAAATATTGGCATTTCAACCTGCATCAATTGTGTCCAGTCAATTTTAATGCTTCCCGTACAAGCACTAGATTGCATTGGCATTCCTATTCATATCCATTGATCCTTCAATTCGGAGCTAATGTGGGCCGGCTAAGCCTCCAGGTGTTCATTCTGAAGGACAAACAGCCACTGAAAAAACAAAACAAAACAGAGAGCTCACATTTTACTGTATGCACACTGACGAGAACAGTGGACAGAAATGCTTTGGAAATTAAAGCTTGTTGTTGATTTAAGCATTTCAACATGACTGCCATCCTCATTTAAAATCCTTTTTGGAATTCGGATGCAGCCACACACATGTAGTGATGCAAACCAAATTGTCTTGAACACAGAGAATCAGCTGTTTCTTTGTCCTATATTGTCGATGTGTTAACGCTTTAAAGAGATCAGTATACGTCATAATCCCTTGGCAAGACACATTTTTATGGCGAGCCTGTGAGCCCAGTGATGGAGAGAATCCCATGCAGAATACATTGTGTCCTATATTGAGCTGCCTCCAACATTATTCAGCTGTGGTTTTCTGCTGAGGTGTGATTTGCCATTTGAGATCTGCTTTGAATACTAACACTACTGTACACATAAAATGTACACAGCATGATTTCAGCTGCATGAGTGATCTGTAATGTTTCAGATATTGGATAATAGTAAAAAATATATAAATATATCTACCCTTTTAAAGCTTAATGAAATAAACAATGATGTTTTAGTGATGATAAACAAGAAGTTATTGGCTAACAGATGTTATTTACCATAATATGGTATTATTACACTATGTAATGATATAATAAAGCCTGGGGCAAAGTACTTTGGTCACTTCTGTGTTTAAAAGCAGTGCAGAGGCAGTTGTGTTTTACCCAGACATGATCTGACTCAGCCTGGTGTTCTAGAGCTGTGTGTTTAATTTCGACAAGCCTGACAGATGAATCAACTCTGCCATTTAACACACGAGCAAAGCAAACATTTCACTTACTCTCTGCTCTGTAGACTCAGTGTAAGCAGCATCATTTGCTCTTGTTCAGAGCAGACAGCAGCAACTATCACTATTGTTCTGATGATCAGCTAAGCCTTTTTAGCCTGACTCTTATTGTATTTTTTTATCCAGACCATCTGTACCAAGGACTAATGTACACATATTACAGGTGATACGTGGTTCAGGCTGAACCTCGCCCCTCTGAGTACTGGCTGCTTCTAACACTGATGACATTGAAATAGGAATATTATATACAAGGTACAGTATAAACAAGGCCTATTCAACTGGAGGCCTATATCTGATTACCGATATATAAAATATATATTAACTACATATAGTGTCTGAAGGTTGCAAACAAGTGAGCTATCTTGTTTCCCTTTCACCTCTGTTGAGTTACACATGTGCAGTAACCATCGGCAGGATGTACAGATCAGTATAACAACACCACTAACACAAATCAACATTGTTTCATTTGCCCCATTGAAAACAGTTGAATGACATTTTTAGCATCTTGCAAGTCCCTATACATATATATATATATATATATATATATATGTGTGTAGTATAAAAGTACATATTGCATTTCCCTTAAACAGGGCTTGTGGTCCTGTGCATACCATTGCCCACCATGGTGTACAGAAAGAAAAAGACCACAAACATGCATTACGGTATCATCTCTAAGAGGTGTAACAACACTTACAGGATGCATATCTGAATTTTGTGTACTGTGTAAAATGCAAACAAGAAAACGAAGAGAAAAATTGCTTTATGACATTTTTTGCTTCTGCACATACAATGCATGGCATGTGTCTGAGCAACAGGAGCTGCCAATCCTGCCTTTGACAGAAGGTGTTTGTGCTTACAAACATCTCATAATGAGAGCTAAGCCAACCACAGAGGCAGGCATTCCACACTGGTTACTGAGCTAAGTTTAAGGGCACAGCAGCACAGTTAAGTCCACGGACTTGTTGAGTCTGTCTGCTCTCTGCCTCAATGTTACCTTCGATTAGCACCGATACATTTTCGAGCATCGCTGGCACAGCAGATGCTTGTAGCCATGGTAACAGACCTTAAATGCTAGTGGAGGCATGCTCTTCAGATGGTCTACAGTTATATACCTGATATTCAGGAAGGTGGAGGTGCCAGATGGTTATGTCAGTGTTTACTGTCACTCACAGTGTTTATATACATGACAGCTGAACTCACTATCAGGCATTAATACCAGCTGGAATTCAAATACTTAGTAAGAAAAATTAATGTATAATATTTTATATGCTGTCGGTGTTTGGTAAATAGTCTGTTAGAAATCCACCAGCAAAGCAGCAGCACTGATTCGCTCACAGCTGCACCTAATTCTGTATGTGAACTCTTTACTTTAACCTGAGAAGGAGGAAAAACAGAAGAGAGACAGAGAGGTAAGCCAGTTAAGACCAAACAGGGAGTGACACTTCTGTCAACTCGCCATCCCCTCACAGCAGTGTTCAGTGGTCTTGTCTGTGTTTGTGTCTCTGTTCTTGGAGCTCAGTGCGGGAGGAGATAAGAGCTGTGCTGCAGTCTGTGGAGACCAGCCTGCCATTTCTGCACGCCATTTGGGGACAGTTTGTCCTTTGGGTAGCTTCTTTCGGACTCAGCAGGCTGACAATGGGCGAGGAGGGAAGTGCTGCTGTGGGCAGGGAATGTGAGAGGAGGGCAGCAAAGAAAACAGTCCTAATGGAGTGTTTATTTGGGGCAGAGAGCCACACACAAAGACAGCTCATCTAAAGAAGAGGGCTTGGGGACATAAGGGAATGAATTCAAATAGTCTAGGACCAAACTGTGCCATTTAAATTACTGCTGAATCTCTCCAGCTCCTGCCTTTCATAGGAAAAATCTTACTGCAGGCCATCTGCACCATTCTACTTCTGCTTGTACAGGTTAGAAACATGTATCATTTTTATGTCGTGCTAAAACTCAATACTCCTTAAGCCACTTTTATGTCAGTCATACAACTCCCTGATTGTTTTTTCTAGCTCCCAAATCATAGAGCAAGCAATGTCTACACTTACTCATACTTTAAAATTCTAGTGAATTCAACTGAAATTAAACTCAACATTTTGCTGCAGAGCCCGTGGGGACCCCACTTTGAGAATGACAACATCATAGCAGTAAGATGTCTTTCTCTCCCAGTATAAACTTCAACAGAAGCTGAGCAGAGCTCTCCATCCCGGTGTAACATTAAAAAAAGTGATTAGTTATTCTGCTTAGTGGGGCTCCCGTAACTGTGATGGTAAAGCCATCCACTTAAGCTTTATTTGCGCTGTGATTTACAACTCTGATGTGCTCCTGCTGTGAGAGACTGATAAAGCCTGATGACTCCTCTTGTTCAATTGACAGTATGTTTCCCTGCTAAAATAAATACAATGTAATGGCAAAGAGCAATGTAATAGTTGCCACCGCTGGTTGATGGTTTCTTCAGCATATGTGACATTTAGCCTAGCTCCAACTGCAAATCCTTCACTCCCCAGCTCCACCTAACAATAAAAGTTGAATACACACAGGTGTATGTGACCTGCCTGTCATATGTGCTACCTGCTTTTCAGAAAAAACACATTCTTCTTAACACAAACACCAACACAGCCACAGTGGCACACAGGGGTAGAGTTGTTCAGCCGCAGAAACCGACAGAAAACCTGTCACTGTCATGGGACACTAGTAGACATGTGGTCCTCAGCACCTCACTTCAGTCTGTCATGAACTTTGTAAATTCTGAAATAGATGCATTTCAACTTCTGCAGCTATTTATACATCAGCCATGCATCATTTACATCATAATCTCTTACTGTAAAACAATAAAAACAGCATAAACAATGAATTACCCCCACCCAACCCTAAATGTCCATAGTGACAATAATAATGAAGGCAGCATATTTTTCACATAGCAGTGCACTCAGCCTCTTGTGGTTCACCCAGACTTAGAGTGATTTATAGAACAATACAGAAGCCCTAGGCACCTACCAGGGCTAGCAACTGCCCAAGACCACCCAAACCGAAAGAGGCAGAGAGCAAAACCAACCCCCAAAAGGCCCACACCAGAGACACCCACACAGACCAATCTGCACGGATGGGACTTAAACAGCCCAAGAGGACAGCCATGTACCCTGCCACCACCAACCTGAGCCATCCCAGGCAAAGCCAACCACCCCAGGGAGCACCTAAGACCCTCACAGAGCACTGCAGTGCAGCCTCAAGCCTAACCGTGGACACCACAATAAGGAAAGGTCCTGTTTCGTAAAAAGGTTATAAAGCTATTTTAGCATTTATCAAAAAGTTGTGTTTTTCTTCCTGAGATTTAACCTAATCTTTCCTGAAGGTATGATGAAAGCTCCTTCAGCCAAAAAGATTCCCTACGTGGCACCTTGATTCTCCAGCGCATGACTGTGCACTTATTGGCTGCAATTACTGCTAGTCTTATAAAGCAAATATTGCCCCTGATATTGGTAACAAGTCCTCCAGTAGCATCAGTCTTGCTGTTGTTTGGGATGTCCACCCCCACAATTCTTCTAATGATATCCATGATAAATCTCTGGTATTACTCCAGACATCCGGAACATATCTAACAGTTCATTTCAGTCTTACATTTAGAGTGAAATTCTGAGCAGCTACTACTTATCCTGTGGAGACATTGATGAGTCTGATAAACCCAGTCTCCAGTTCTGAAAACATCACACCGGCATATGACTGATGTGACTGAGCCACCATCAAAACCAAATACGGAGACGAACACAGACGAGAGCTGCTCCAATCAGTGAACCTAGCTTTGCAGATATTACTGAACTTGTTGAACATCACAATCTAATACAAAGAAGTTGCAAAAACACTTGCGTGTTCCTGTTGGTAACGTTCTGCCATCATTGTAAAAGTAGACACTCAATGAGACTTCATTTGTTTAAGTAAACTGGCAGGACAGTAAGACGGAGTGAGATAGCGCCTGGAAGCGGGTGATAGATGTGATGAGTTTATCATAGATTATAATAAACTATTAACACAATATTGACATTTTACCAGACATATGTAACATGGACTTGTCGATGTACATTCAGTACATTATGTACTGTAACGTCAGCATGTTGTATCTGTGGGAAAAATGTGTCTACCACCTTAGGATTTTGCACCTCTATTTACTGTTGTCTTCATTGAGCCATGTTTTATGTGTTTAGGTGTGTTAGCTGATTCAATCAAACTTTACTGCACTTCACAGAAACTCAGCACAGCATAGCATAGTAACCCCACTGCCAGCAGGAGGTGTAACTGCAGAGTATAAGACATACTAACACCAGGGAGACAGGCTGCAATATATGCAAAGTACATGGAGGAGCAGCGGCTCCTTTTCTTTAAGATAATGCATGATTGAGTTTGTGTTATTCTAAATTTTGACAGTAAGGTTTTCATTTTTACTGCAAATGTATATCGGTTACAAATATCAGATATCAGTACTAATAATTGGTATCAAAATTGGCCCTGAAAAAAAAAAAAGAAATTGGTCAATCCCCAAAAGAAGCCTGTTTTCTTTTCCACCCAGCAGGTTCTCTCCACCTTATCTTTTTGTTCCCTCTCTTTGCTTTTTGTCCTGAGTGAAGGCCACTCCAGTCGACAGGACAGAATGACATTTCTAGGGCACTGTGAGAAACTGTCTGTCTAAAGGCACCAAATACCATATGAAAATACAAGACTTGTGTAACATATCTGTGACCTTTTATGACCATTACTTGTAAAACCAACATGGTGCTCTACACTGCAGCTGTACACCTAAATAACAGCAGGGTTGTAGAGATGAACTAATGTGTATACAAAAGAAAGAAACCAATAAAGCCACAGCCTGAGGATACACTGGTGTACACAGCAGTATCTTTATATACATCACAGTACGATACACTGTACTTCCTCTGTGTTTGTGCATGATCACACACTGCAAACACTTACTGCTGTAAAGTGCCTCTCTGTCTCTCTCATTATCAAATGTATTCCCCATGCTAACAGAACCCAACCCACAGATACTGCAGCTTGAAGTTAACTGCTCCCATTTTTCAATTTCAGTCATCACTGCCTGAGAACCATGCTATCATTACAGTAGACCCGCCACTCATTTTCTCAGGGGACGTTTGTGTGTGATGATAGCAGGCAAGTCTCTTAGGTACAAATCAATTTTAGCCTCGGTCCTATCGCTCAGAGGCCAGGGTATATTTTTGGAGCACTTACCAAAGTCTGACATGTTTGATTCTTTTTCTTCACCTCCGCCTCAAGTGCTTCACACTCCTTCCTTCTGGTGCTGATCTCAGTCTCCTGGGGAGGGAAAAAAGCAGAGGACAGCTGCTATGGTTTGTCAGGAACAGAAGCTTCCTGAGAGAACTCAGTAAGACTAGGCGGGGAAAGAGGGAGCAGGAGCATTTCATTATTCAGCAGTATTTTGTTGTGTGAGTGTATGTGTGTATGCAACAGAGAGGTTTCCAGAGACTTTCTAATAGAGATCACAAAATGTTTTTGTTGTCAAAAAACAGACAGCAGGTTGGGATGATTCAACAGTTCAACTGTTGGAGGATGTTGGGTGTGGTTCTCTCAGACTTATACCATGAAAAGGACTTGGAAAAGGAATCTGTCAGAAAGCCTTCACTCATTTTGGCCAGTCATACAGTGGTGTCAAGACACCACCGACCTATCTGCATGAGTTGCTGTGGTAACAACGCAGGTGTCAATAACTATGTAGCTACGCTGGTGATGCAGCTTTCCAACATGGAGGCATGGGAAATGGAGTTGCACCATTTTACCCTCCAAACAATTTATTTTGATGTCTATCCACAGACTGTTTTTCTCCATAGCGCTTTGCTAGCAGCAGCATGGATTATTTAACAAACTTCCATCACTCTGGATTTGATGAAGTTGTTGGATGTCGCATTGCAAGTGACCCGAAGACACTGTAATCCAATTTGAGCAGCTAGAGTGTTTGGACTGAGACACATCTGTAGGAATCCGATTGGAAACACATTCAAAACCACCTCCAAATGTGGTTTGGATCATTTCATTTGTTTTTGCTGTCCAGACTTTCTAAAATGATTCTGACTATGCCAAAAAAACAGATTTGGGCTGGCAGTCTGAACAAGGCCTACGAGTCTACAGCAATGCTAGCAGCTCCATGAGGTTGTACTCAGGCGCAGAGGTGCTTTAAACTAAACATTAATATCAGCATGCTAACACGCTCACAACAACAATGCTAACAGGCTTATGATTATCAAGTATAATGTTTAACAACAACAACTTATCAGAGCTGAGGAGTCTCTAAAGCAACTGTCATTTATGTTAATCACAGCTCATGAACTGAGGTCAAACTGTCAAACTAGGCAGTGCTAATCAAATATGAATCAAGATTGTGTAACTGCAGGGGCAACCTCTAGCTCTCCTTGTAGAGTGTGCACCCTATAGGTTGAGTCCTCTGCAGCAGCCCGGGTTTGATTGCGACCCGTGGCCCTTTGCTGCATGTCACCCCCCACACCCCAGTTATGAACAAAAGTATTGGGCAAATCAAATGTTGATTGTCTACCTGACAGAGCAGCAAGCACAGGTGTTACTGACAACATTAACAACGGCTCTGTTCCATGTTACAAGAAAACTGCAGAGCACCTCTGACTACTCCTGTGCTGTTTCTGCAGGAGCCTGCTCTTGAAGAGTCTACTCTGTCTCCCATGTTAATTAGATATAAACTCAGTATGTTTCCATAAAATATGTCTAGACATACACTACATACTGTTGCCTGTTTCCAATGTCTAGTATGTTTCCATCTAGCAGGCATTCAACTTAACTTAACTACACTGTGATGAATACTGTGATGAAAAAGATTAAACTAAAAAAAAAAATCTGTTTTAAAAAAATCTTTAACCTACAAATCCATTTTCCCCCATTTTTATGTAAGCTGTTGAGTCTTTTGAGGTCATTTACTTGTCATAGCAGGAAAAGCACAGGTGTAACTAATAACCTTAATGATGGCTCTGTTCCATTTAAAGGTCCCAGTATGCCTGTATGCACACTAACAGTGCTCTGGCACTGATGCTTGTAAACGAAATTCAGCCTCAGTTATGGTTATTAATTACACCTGTGCTTTTTCTGCACATATGCTAGGTATATTTTGTCCCCAATTTATATGAATATGGATACATAAACTGAAACTAGATTGCATTCTCTCAGTTTGTAATAATATAATGTTCAACCGGTGCCTAACTGACACCTAATTTTCACTCCCGAGGTTTTTGAATGCCTGTTATTTTTCCATCAAGCAGCCGTTAAAGCGAGCTGACAGCTGAATGCTGTGTTAGCTAGAATTACAATGAAAAGAAGTTGAGCTTTCCTCACAATGCACGATTAGAGCCAAAACATGACTAAAGTCTGCCACAATTTCCACAGAGGATGACTTGTTTAGTCTATCAGCGCTCTTCAGTGAATTCATCACCACTGGCTTCTCAGTAGGAGCACAAGGGAGACAGCTAGAAATGGGATATCCTCATCAAAGCTGCCTGTGTGTGCTGCCCTGCTTGGGAGATGCCACATCTCTTTGTCACTCCACTCTAATCAGGAGGTTAACGCTCTCTGGCAAGCTGGGATGCATTCAGTAATGAAGGGTATACCTACACACCTTCTTTATGGGCAATCATTTAATGTACAGCAAAGTATTGCTCTGCTCTTAAAGCACAGAATACATGATGTTACATCATCAACCAGATCCTGTGTTTATCAGCAGCCTGAGCTCTCCATCAGTGTATGAGAAACAGCCTTGCTATGCATGGGAGTGAGAGTGCAGCTGGATGTTCCAAGATTAGCGTATAGAATTAAACAGGATTTTATCTGTGTCAGTGTGTGTGTTACCCATGCGCACACACACATACACACACACACTCTGGTACCATGGCACCACGTGTCCCTGACTAAAAAAAGCACCAGCGGAGCCACCAGAAGCCCACAGCACACAATGCATGCCGCATGTGAGAATGCATGAACGTGCACTTCATCACATAAACGCTCACAGCTCGGTTTGACTTTGAGTATAGTATACTGCAATACATTCAAATGGAAGGCAGCAGCTGGTTCCCCTATTGACCCATGAGTGCCAATGATATTCAGTAAGACAGTGAGCAATAGGTTTAGAGAGCTGGACCAACGGAAGCAATAGGAATAAGCTTTGACCCTTCTGGGATCAGTGAGATCGTGGTGTTTCACCCCAGACAAATGACAGTTGGTATGATTAAATCTTTGACCCCTTATCTGCTGTTGCTGGTCCACCAGTGATTCTGCTCTGGTGCTATGTGTTAGCACGTTCCCTAGTATATCTGTCCTTTCAAGGCCTAAAACCTTCACACGGACAGAAAGATGAGGAAAATAAATGTCCCCTAAAGTTTGGATTTCACCCTAAAATACCCAGTTTGGATGATTTTTTCATATGTTTGAAATTTGTTTCAAGTTAGGTATGACTTAGGGTTAAGCCTGAAATAATCTTGCAACAATGTGTTTGAGTCAACTTCTTACAAAACTGTTCAACAAGGCAAAACTCCCTTAAGACAAAGTTACAGCTTTCAGTGTGTGGTCAGTGGTTTAACAGTGGGAAATCTGAAATAATTATTTATGCTTGAGAGATTATTCATTTACTTATTCCGCTGGGAGTGATATTAGCCACTGCAGGTGTTTGTAACTGTAGTTTCAATGGGATTCTTAAGACCTAAACCCCCACTGTTCTTGTTCACTATACAGTCAACAAAAGCACGAGAGAAGATGAATGAAATGTTCGAAACTATGAAAAGATTAAAAAATCTTGGATGTGTTCAAAAGAGTCTACATATACACAGTATACACGACCACGCTGACTCTAAATGATTTCCTTTGAGTGAATCACACCGAGCCTCCGCAGACAGCTTGCCACCTCCCATGTGGGCTGGTATCTAACGTGTACGGTTTTCAGAACCAGACGCTACAACACACACGATGAATATTTCACTCACACACTTATAGACACACACACACACGCAGCTCTCAGGCTTGCTGAGGCCCATTTGTTTGGAGCACATTTGCCAATGTTCAATTAAAAATCCCTCTGATAAAAGATTCAAATGGCTGCCATTGTGAGTAATGAGCTCCTGTATAAGTGAAGAGGCGTTTACTGCACAGCAGATGAAGACAGATGAGAAAGACCATCCCCTTAGGCTGGATCTAGCATTCGTGCCTTGGTGGCACTAATGCAAATACATGCACAAGAGAGATGCTTCCACAAAGATCTATACTACCACCATGTCTCTTATGTACCACAGAATAAGCAGCAGGAATTTCACTTTCTGTTATACCGCAGAACATCTTCCCACATGGGAACGGCACTCCTCAGTAGCAGTGCGCCCCCCCCAGCAGGACAATGTGCCATGCCACACCACAAAAACTGCTCAGAAGTGGCCCAAGGAACATGATAGAGACCTCAAGGCATCGACCTGGCCTCCACATTCCCCAAATTCCAGACTGATCAAACATCTGTGGGACGTGCTAGTACCCCCCCTCCCAATCCATGGGACTTAAAAGATCTGAAGCCAACGTCCCTGGTGCCAGACACTACAGGACATCCTCCAGAGGTCCTGTGTCCATGCCTTGACAGGTCAGAGCCAATTAGGGTCCAAGAAGGACCCACCATGGATTGGGGTATTTCTGGGGTAATAGCACGTCCCACAACTGTTGGGTTAGATTGGGACTGAGGTATTTGGAGGCAAAGTCGACACCTTGATCTTTTTGTCCCATTCCTGGGGTGGTTTCTGAGCAGTTTTTTGTGGTGTGGCATGGTGCATTGTCCTACTGGGGGGCCACTGCCATTGACAAGTGCTGTTGCCATAAGGGGGTTTACTTGGTCTGCAACTGCTAGCTGCACTGCTCTAGGGATTGCAGTTTCAACCTGTTGGTTATCAGTCGTTCATGGTTCCCAAAGGATGTATCTTAATTTCAATTTGTCCAATACATTGATTTATGACCAAATACCTGCAAAATAAATGACATAACATCAACCTATACTTTGTGTTTTTTGCTAATCCGCGAATGTTATGCTAACACGCTCAACTTAGATGGTGAACATCATCACGTTACTGTTGTCATCGTGGGCATGTTTTCAACCCTTTTGAAAATGAACTCACAAACACAACTAAAAATCTGCCTTGCCTACTAATTATCACTTAGTATACTTGCTCCAAATCAGGCTATAGAGGTTAGTTAATGTTTTTACAAAAGAAAGAACTAAAAACAGCCAAGCCTCAGGTGTGAGCCCTGAACACAGC